GATCCAATCGGTGTCCACTCAGTTTACTTTCAGCACTCGGGAAGACAGACGCTGGGAGCCCAGTTTCTGAAGATTTTGTAGAATGAAAAGGCCGCAAACACGGCTCCCGCTACTCTGCTGTCTGCCGTGGCAAATGGACTAAAGTGAACAAAGGACAACAATGTCGAGAAAACAGCAGAGGAATCCAAGCTTCTGTGGCATAGTGGTGCGCAATGTCCAATCCAAGAGTACTGCCAGCAGCTGCAGACGACATACGGCTTGGATGGGGGTTGCCAACACAGGCAGAACTCCCCCCAGATGCTGTCGTAGGTGCCAGAGTCGTAGCGTATCCCCGCCGATTCATGTATCTCGCCCGCTGCGTCGTCCTTCTGCAATATCCCGGACTCGAGAAGGAGCTTTTCCAGAGCAGGCGCTCGCCGTGTTTTCAGTTGCTCGACCATTTTCTTCGCCATGCCAGCAGGAACTTCTCGAGGCTTGGCCTGCGCCATGCAAATCCATTTCTGCGAGCCGGTGTAGACGACCTGCGCGAACCTGTGCCAGGCGTTCTTAATTACTTCCCTTGTGGCGTTTAGGGCCGGGTGACGCATCCACTAACTTGAGCTCAGCCCTGGCCTTGTGTTCGGCAGTTTCAGCCGCTTGACCAGAGCAGGAATGCCGGCATAAAACCTCAGTTTGCCGAATGGTGCTCTGAGCACCTGTCCCTTGTCCATCATCCAGCTATCCGGATTCTTGGGCCGCTGGAACGACATGAGATCCGGATCCGCAGGCCCCATGAGGCTCGTGAGTTTCGACCCAAGTTCTTCGTTCTCTTTAAGAGGGGACGACCAGGCGCGAACGCTGTCCTCAAGGGCCAGAACCACGTCTGTGTGGGATTCCAGCACCCGCTGCGAGCGCAGAGAACGTTTGAAGAATGCGTGGAACGCCTCTATCGGCTGTTGTGTGGCTGGCCTTTGCGGAAATAAAGAACAGCAAAACCTGACCACATATACGCCTGCGAATAAAAGACCGGAGCCGGAACGGATTAATGTCTGTTATTTTGACAGCGAACCCGAACCCGCCTCGCTGGGAGTAGTCTGCTGCCCAGGCCCGACCACCACGTGGAGGTGAGGAAATGCCCGACTCCTTCTTTCTCACTATCCTGTGTCGGCACTTGCCGCATGTACTGGCTGCGGTAGTACTGCACCCACTCAGGTTCCTGCCAAACGTGGAAGATCCTTGCAAATATTCTGGTCGCGCAAAGATGGAAAAAGGCTTTGCTGGGGTGCATCACCATTTGCGCGGTCAGATTCAAAAAAGCGTAAACAGGTCGATTCTTGAAGTGTGGCGGGCGCTTCTTCAATTTTCCCGACTTTGTACGCTTTCTGGGCGCACCCTCGGCCTCAGCTGCTCTTACTCTCTTCCCAGCGTTTTGGTTCTTGAGAATATTTCGGCGTTGATGCCAAAGGCCCTGGGCAATTCTGACTCGCGGGAAAATTCTCTCGGCTGCTGTGGCCGCGCCAGAGAACCAGTCAAAGCAAACTTGACTTGGGCCAGGGATTTGGCGGCGATCGCATTCTTTGCGCAAGCATTCCAGAGCTTGCTCGTAGACGGCGCCCGTTTCTTTGCGAGAACAGACGCATATCAAAGGAAGGCAACTTCTTCGCCATCTCCCTTCGAGTTTCCGCATCACCACACATGCCAAAATAGCATAACCTGAAACTCATGCCAATCTTGCGCTAAAAGCACCCCTGCTTACAAGGGACACAAATGTCAGGAAACAAATGCCAACATGCACGGGAAGCAATATCCCAGGATTTCCAGCTTGAAAGTGAAATCTGCTGTCAAGCACCATGGCTGCAAACCTCCCTGCTCGTGGGCCTGCTGGAGTGCTGCAAAGCAGGGCACCAAGAGACAGATCCACGTGAATCTACCTGGACCAATATCCATATGTGCAAAGCAAAGCTCACCGTGGTCTGGGTCCTGCCTCTCGGCCGCCATGGCACGAAAGGAGCCTTCACTCTCGAAGCATTTCCAGCTGGTGAAGCCGAGCTTCCTTCTCCGCCAGCGCAATATGCCTCTGACCACATTGTCCGGGACACGGGGCTTCTTTTCATGTGCAAGACGAATGTGAACTGCAGTCGGAGTTGCTTTCAAGCCTTGCTGGATCAGATAATCAGCCGCTTCGTGCACCGAGTTGCGCTGTTCAACTGTACACTCAACTGTAGCCTTCTTGCCTTTGTGCTCCGTGGATCGTCGCATCTTGGTCCGCGCATCACCGCTGCACTCACCAGCACGGGACACTGTCAATTTCGTGAATGCCCCATCCTCGCTGTCAGCGGCAAGAAACTCGAACGTCTTTCCGTTGAAGTTGCGACACCCTTCGCACTTGTAGCAAACGGCAGTCGTGCGCATCTGCATTGAAGGCTGAAGATAAGGCTGCCTGAAGCTGCCAACAACCTCATGGGTTTTAGAAGCCCAAAGTCTAGCGGCTTCTCGAACATCTGTGACTTTGGGGCAGACGAAGGTATCAACGACGCGGAAATTCAAGCTGCGTTTCCGCTCTTTTGCAGCATCCTTCTCAGCCATGCCGCGATGAAATCTACGGCTCTGCAAGCAGCTACGACTTCAATCTTGAGTTTGCCAATGGAGTTGTGTCTACAGCTCTGCAAGCAGCTGCAGCTGCGACTTCGATCTAGAGTTTGCCAAAGGAGTTATGAGTAAAATGATCGGCAGTGGCAAAAGCAAGCTCACAGGCATCACAGGGAAAATCCGACACGAAATGTTACCAGGCCTGCCCCTCGTTTGATTTGCAAAAGCAACCCAAGAAGCGAACCCCATTCAGGAGCCCACTTTTCAAAGGTTTCATGGCACGAAATGTTGATTTCTTGGGCTCCTGCCCCCCCCCGTTTGCAAAAGCAACCCAAGAAGCGAACCCCATTCAGGAGCCCACTTTTCAAAGGTTTCATGGCACGAAATGTTGATTTCTTGGGCTCCTGCCCCCCCCTGTTTGCAAAAGCAACCCAAGAAGCGAACCCCATTCAGGAGCCCACTTTTCAAAGGTTTCATGGCACGAAATGTTGATTTCTTGGGCTCCTGCCCCCCCCTTTTGCAAAAGCAACCCAAGAAGCGAACCCCATTCAGGAGCCCACTTTTCAAAGGTTTCATGGCACGAAATGTTGATTTCTTGGGCTCCTGCCCCCCCTTTTGCAAAAGCAACCCAAGAAGCGAACCCCATTCAGGAGCCCACTTTTCAAAGGTTTCATGGCACGAAATGTTGATTTCTTCGGCTCCTGCCTGGCTGCTGGCCGCCATCAAGGCTGTCGAGACATCGCATCGCAAGCCTGGCCGGCGGATGGGCTTATATACCAACTTCTAAACTTGTTGTTAGCCCGCTTGCCTCGATCTCCGAGAGGATGCGAAGAAAAGAACTAAAGCAAAACTTGAGCCCACGGCTCCTTCAACAGCAGTTGCCACTGTCATGACAGACAAGATTTGTGTTATGGTATGCAGTTGTTGTGGCTTTTTTGTTGTTGTATGCCCAACCCTGTCACGGTAGGTCCACCCCCTTAACCATGATCACGTCTAGATCAGACCATATCTTTTGCCGCAGAGCACCCATGGGCCAACCATGATCACGTCCAGATCAGACCATATCCATTGCCGCAGAGCATCCATGGGCCAACCATGATCACGTCCAGATCAGACCATATCCATTGCCACAGAGCATCCATGGGCCAACCATGATCACGTCCAGATCAGACCATATCCATTGCCGCAGAGCATGCATGGGCCAACCATGATCACGTCCAGATCAGACCATATCCATTGCCGCAGAGCATCCATGGGCCAACCATGATCACGTCCAGATCAGACCATATCCATTGCCGCAGAGCATCCATGGGCCAACCATGATCACGTCCAGATCAGACCATATCCATTGCCGCAGAGCATCCATGGGCCAACCATGATCACGTCCAGATCAGACCATATCCATTGCCGCAGAGCATGCATGAGCCAACCATGATCATGTCCAGATCAGACCATATCCATTGCCGCAGAGCATCCATGGGCCAACCATGATCACCTCCAGATCAGACCATATCCATTGCCGCAGAGCATCCATGGGCCAACCATGATCACGTCCAGATCAGACCATATCCATTGCCGCAGAGCATGCATGGGCCAACCATGATCACGTCCAGATCAGACCATATCCATTGCCAGTGGGGGCCTATACAATGGGGGGGTGGACAACCCGTGCCAGTGTCAGCATGTGCCGTTTTTCCCACACACAGGCCACGTTTTTTTGCTTCCGATGCAAAAAACAACAAAAAAAACGTAAAGTTCCAAAAAACTGTGTGGAGGACGTCTCGCGCGAAACGGGCGTTTTTGACGCCGGCAGGGGGGGCATGCGTGCATGCAGCACTTGCACTTGCAATGAACACAAACAGACGTCTATGTCACCATGCTGTTTGTCCCACGCAGGCCACGTTTTCTGCTTTCATGCAAAAAGACAAAAAATCAACACATGTTTGCCTTCCAGCCGCGCGCGCATTTACAGGGCGTCCGCGCGTTGTTGTAGCAGTAGTCGTGGTGGTAGTAGTAGTAGTAGTAGTAGTAGTAGTAGTAGTAGTAGTAGTAGTGGTGGTAGTTTGTACTGTGTCGTGATGAATCGTGGCTTGGTATAGTCTTGCATTGTATTCTATGGTAGTATACGTCATTAGGTTTATGATGCAAGGAGATCATACACATGCACAAATATATACGTATGCTCTGCACACACATACATCACGTCTCACTGGCCGGACCCACATTACTAGTAGCATCGACTTGCTGCTTCAACTACTAGCAATCACTTCCGATCAGTCGCCACAATGCGTCAGTCTTTGCACTTTCTTCCTGCAGAGAAGCTCCAACTATCACCTTAATGCCCTGTAGAACCCAGCTTCACAGAAAAAAACTTATAAAACCCTTAGAATCCCGAACTACTGGATCAGAAAGCATCACTTTGAGGCCCCGACCTCCACTATGGCCGTGACCGTGGCTCGGGCTTTCGTGGCCGTGGCCGTGCCCATGCTGGGTGGGGGTGTCGCCGTGGCCATGGCCTGGAAGGGCTCGGAAAGGTGTAGGGGTTTCGGGCGTTTAGGGTTTAGGGCTTCAGGGGTTTAGGGTCTTTAGGGACTCAAGGGCACGTAAGCAGGGCACAGGGAAAGGTGCGAAGGTCAAACCAAAACATGCGTGGACAGCCTGCAGTGCCGTTGCACAAACGGCTTCTGACGGACCAGCTCCAAGCAAGAGAAACGTACCCCAAGCTTTGAAACCTTGAAGAGTCCCTGATTTAGGAAAGAACCACAAACAACAACAGTGGCCTTGCAGCATGCGCTCCTGAGCCTGGCATACGAGTCTTGAACGCAACTACCGAAGCTTGCAAAGGCATCAGGGCTTGTGGGTCTAGGGTATCTCAAAGGACTAGGGACGGTGTAGCGAAGGTTCCTGCATGTTAACAACAGAAGACGTTACCCTCTATTTATGTACATACACATCTACATTTCATTATATTATACACATATATCCCCAAACCCCCAAAACCCCGCGAAAACATGTGAAAACCCTGGCACCACCCGTACTAGAAAGGTTACTCTATCAGGTTCTATAAGAATTTCTCTACGGTTCTGTAAGAGGGTACGACAACCTGAAAAAGTAGCAGAACTAGGAGCCCCCGCAATTCGCATGGCCGTCAACTGAAAATTCCAAGAACGGAACTCGATTCCGCCATGAGAGGGCCCCCGCTGTTGCGAGCGCTGCTAGTGAAGTCACTACTACTATCGCTGCTGTTGCTGCGCTATTTACTCGCATTGATCAGGGTTGCTGGTCTTCTTGATCGTTCATGATGGCTATGATCACAGGACGGCTGGGTGTGGTGATACTTTGGAACCACAGTAGGTACTCCTGCAGCGGATCTATCAAAGATCTACTGCCAATCCCAAGGCCAGTAGGCCTTGGATTGGAAATGGATTTCACTCTCCCTAAACCCTACGGTATAGGGTTTAGGATTTAGGGTTTAGGGATTGTGGACGGTGTGGACGCCCACTCAGGGAAGCGAGTGGATGGCTGTAAGTACATAGGTGGTTGTCAACATTAGGGTCCCTTTTTGGGTCCCTACTACAATACGGCACCTAATATTTAGGGTACCCCAAAAAAGGGGACCATAATTTTGACAACCCCCCCCCCCCCCCCCCCCACATGCATCTACAGCAAGTCAGCCACATCCGACCTCCTTGACCATGGCCATTTGCGACCTAGGCGGGGGGCTTGGAGCTGCGGACTGCGGGTTTACTGTGTCTTTGGTCTTTTAAGGTGTTTGTGCTTTTTGGGGGAGCTTCGGACTCGGGATTTGCCGTTTTAGGTCTCATGGGAGGTTTAAGGCGTTGTTGTGCTTCTTTTGGTACATTACCAGGCGGCTCCTGAGGCTTAGGGTTGAGAGGCGACGGCTATGAGTTGAAGGGGTTGGGAAGAGGGACCAAAGCCATTTCTGACCTCCCACAGTAATGCAGCTCAGTTTTCATGTCGCAGGAAACTGCGAATGATGTCACAACAGCCGCGCTGAGCTACATAATGAGCTGCTGGACCTAGGAGCGTAGGACTCAGGAGGTTGAAAGGGTTTTTGCCAGGAAACACTCGAGGACCGGCCTCCAATTGCCATGCCATGACATCCTGAAGGTGATACGGTTGATGATATAAATCCTGCAATACCTTAATGACCCGAAACTATGGGAATTATGGTATATTCCTTATTATGGGTCATGCAGAATTTATATCATCAACCGTAAGACCGGGCTTGGATTCCTGGACCTAAATTCCAAAGCGAGATCCGGGACACGTTCCCTCCCAACCCGCCGCGGAGAAATTAGATCCCGGCGGATGTCCCTGCACGCGGTAGTGCAGCACTTCCCCCCTTTCCTCGAAAGCCTGCAGAGGAGCTGAGATTAGTTTTTTGCACAGAAACTACCATGATGCGCATGTTAGCAATCCTCCCAAATAACAGTACCAAACTTGGAAGCACCTGTATGTTCAGCCCGCGCATGTCAATCAAGGCATCAAATGTCGGAGAGCCGTTAGCTTCGAAGTAAACGTTGTTTACGGGTTGGTGATTTTCTATCGAATGGCGGATGCCCAACCCATGCCTTTTGCAGACAACTACAGCAGGAAAGCCCAGATGGAGCCGAGCAAAGCCATCCGGGTTCCAACGGAAGCCTCCCAATCCCACACCACCCAGGGAAACCCCAACTTCAATCCCAAAAAAGACCTCAAGAGAGCAAGTTCCGATCCCCATTCTCGGCCGGATCGGATGTGGCTTGAGAATGCTCTGAACCCCAAGCCAAACCCGTAACCCTGAACACTGAACCCTAAACCCCAAATCCTGAAGCCTAAACTCCACGGCTCCAAAGGTTTCTTTCAGGGTACCTTCAAGGGTAGCTATAAGGGTTCCTGCTAGAGTGACGATAAGGTTACTAAAGGATAGTCCCCATCAAGGGCGTTGATATCAGAGTCGGGATCACTGGCAGTTGTATCGTCCCTCTAAACATATACCATTGCATACCCCAAATCCCTGTATAACTGCACTATCACACACCCCACAACCCCATTCCGCTTATTCAGGCCCATAAGAAGGATTGCCGTATTTTAGGGTCCATATTGGGCTTCCCCACTTTATAGAAGCTACCATGTTGCTTTGAGAATTATCTCTACTATTGTGGTGGTTTATTATCATATTCACAGTATAATTTACCCCTTAACGATTACTTCGAGATTCCGGCCTTTGTGAAGCTATCCATGTCTAAGCCGAGGTCTTCAGTAGCACTGCCGTGCAGTCCCTCGTTCTTTTGCCTGGGACAGCACATGTGAATCTGGGTAGGTTTTTTGTTGAGCCCCCTTTTCACCCAGCAATCAAGCCTGCCATCTGGGCAGGGTTTAGGCTTGAGTTCTTAGGGTTTTGTAGGGTTCAGGGCTCAGGGCGTTCTGGATTCGGGGTTAGGATTTCAGGCTTCGCGTTTGGGACTCACGGCTTAGCCTTTCAAGGTTTAAGACTTAATTGGAGGATCATAACTAGGGCAAGGTCATGATTAGGGTGCCCGTACTTATATATACTGCACTTCAAACCATACTTAGCAAGTTCCATGATTCTCCACAAGTAGGTTTAAGGCCGCAGGGCTTAGGGGTTTAGACTCCCCGACCCGGCGCTTGAGAAACTGTGATTCGGGAGCTGGGTTTGAGTCTGCTAGAACCTGGAGATATGAAGTGCTTTTAAACGCCTTTTCCCGATTTCCTTTGCCCAGAAGTCTCTAAACTCAAGAACTCCCTGGGTTTTTTCACGCACAAGGGTTTAGGTTTTTTTGTTACAGAGGCTTTGGGGTTCAGGGTTTATGGGGCTTAAGGAGAAAGTGTGGGTTCTGGTAGATTTGTGCTGCTGCTGGCACTCCCAGAAGCTGACGCGGATGATGGCGGGCTCGGAAACGACAAGCGGAACTGCGGATGCCGAGCTCCCAACTTCAGCTGATTCCACCGCTGCTTCAGAGACATGAAAACTTCGATGGTGAAGGCCTGGCAGATAAGCAAGATCCCGCTAAGCTGCAGGTTCTTTGGATGTGAGACAGATCGAAGTCGTGACCGACTCTTGGTCCTTTCAACAAAGCACAGCTCCAGGACTGGCCTTCACCAGCTCGAAGACGATGCTGACACCACAGACGTAGAAGACCGGGAACATGATCCTGGTGCCAGCATTTTGGGAGCCCATCGTTCGGAATTCACTGCGCGAGCCGTCGATCGTCCGAAACATCAAGACCTCGAGCATGTCACACCTATTCTAGTCAAAAAAACACACGAGATCTGGACTCTCGAGCCGACGTGACGATCACAATGCCCTTCAGTGTCCGAGCTACTTTGACCGTGGATCGATCGAGTACGTGTGTATGACGCGACAGATGTCCCCATGCCTCCGGCTGCAGATCCTGCGCAAACCTCAAACCCGTCAAGCAGACGAAGCATGCCGGAACATGAGAACTCAACCCCACAGGCGTGTCCAGCTGAAGGGAATCGAGGACGTCCTGGAGACGGCCTGGCGCCCAATGAGCAGGACTCTTTCCCTAATCCTCCATAAACCCTACGCTTCAAACCCCAAACCCGCAAGAATATTGAGACTTTCCTTGGATGGAGGGCTAGGCGGTGGCCACCCTGGCATCCACTTACCTCAACATGTTGGCTGAGATAGATGTAGCCGTCTGTCAGAACGAGAAAGATCGATTTTGCGTGGTGAGATCGTGTTGGGATATGCAAAGACCGAGACAAAGGGAAAGCTTGAACCTTGCACTTCAATTCTTCTGCACGCCCTGACACTTACAAGGCCTACTGACCCAAAACCAGAGAACCCAACCTGCAGAACCGCTGAAGCCCTCGATACATCCCGTCGGAAAGCCTCAGGAAAGTTCGGCTCGTACTCGCACAGGAGCATGACGAACCAGACCCTTTGCTAAAACTGGGTGGTAGCTAAGCATGCGATGAAGTCTCTGTCGCTCCAGCTTCGGGATGAGTTAAGCAGGTGCCGAGCTGCTAGAAAGTCGAAGCTTTTGGCACTGGCACTAGAAGCAAACTCCAGCAAGCAAAATCCCTAAGACTCCGCTCTCACCCTGTCCGGCCATGCTTGCCACGTCAACACACTGTCTGGTTCTTCCTTCAGGTCCCCTATATAGTAGTCCCAATAACCAATTTCCCCATTCCCTACCAAGAACCAGACAGCACAGCTGCACTGATCGCATAAGACGGAGGCCCGAAGGCAGATGGCACATCGTTGAAGTTGAGCACCAGCATGTGCTTCTCCAAGTACTCGGTACCCTTCGCACGCCGGACATGACTGGGTTGTGCTTTAAACCCTTTGAAAACTATCTATGAATAGGAGGAAATAAGGGAATTAAAAATTATCCCAAAGCACAACCCAGATGAGTGGCTCAAACCTGCTTTCCCCAAGAAGCTCTCCCTTCTCGGTGCAAGCTCTCCCTGGCCCTACACCCTGAGAATCCAGTTCTGAGGCTGCTATGCAAGTCAGGCTTCTGAGCTGAAAACTACGAAGCTCGAGCCCTCAAACCCGACTAAAACCTAAGAACCCGACCAAATCCTAAACTTCAACCCCATAATCCCTGAACCCGGTTAGCAGGGCTTGCAGCCCTAAGAGCCCTGCTAGAGCCCCTCACAGCCATTTAGGGTTTAGGGTTTAGGGTGCAGAGGTTTAGGGTTTAGGGTTTCCAAAATCTCTGAATTGGCAAACAGCGATGATAACAATACCCACTATCGTAGTAGCTAGCATGATTGGAATGGAAGGCAATATTGAAAGCATCAGAAGCACAACTGCAATTGTGGCCCTTGAGAATATGAGGAATGTCGGCAGAAAAATGCCTCCAAGCGCGCATTGTTTTCGTAAAGGTCTCCACCAAAGACCTGGGGGTCTGATTAGACGTGCAGCTGCCGTGTGCAAGGATACTCGCGTTTGGGGTTTAGCGGAGGGCACCACCACTGTCTTCAGCGCCATGGCAATTGCAGCAACCGCAACGACGATGACTGCAGTTGCGCCAATGGGCTGTAACGATGACAATGCCCTTGACGATGACGGTGACGATGACGCTGGTGATACGAATGGTACTTGCAAACATGACACTAGTGCAGATGCATATGCCCATGCGCAGCTACAGCTAATGCTGATGGCAATGCCAACTGACATGGGATAAGAAAGAGGGAAATGAGAGATGTTAACGACAATGGCAATGGTAGCGATGATGGTATCCTGGTAACCATCCTGATAATGATACTGTCAGGAGCAGTTTTGATACTCATGGAAAAGGCAACCAGAAGCAGGAAAGCCGTTAGAAGCACCGATCGAGCGGTAACAAAACAGCATAGCCAACAGGATAGTAAAACTACAAGCGCCGCTCAGCAACAAACACGGAGAGTGACAAACATCACAACCCATACTCGATAATAACGCGGATCACCATCACCATCGTCATCCTCATCGTCGCAGAGCATATCTTCCAACCCACAATTTTTGCAGCAATCCAGAAGCACACAAAATCGGGGACCCGCTAGTTCTGGTCACAGCAACTTGGCATACAGCCTTTTGCCTTCTATGGGCCAGAGCCTTCAGCTGAAACAGTCGACTTGCTAGGTTCCCAGATCAACCTCGCAGCCACTAAGTTAGCCGTTGCAGGACCAATACCAATGCTAGTTCTGCAGGATATGTCCGAGGAGCTTGAACCGACGCGCAGCAGAAGAAGTACACCACCACACCCAGCAAAGTGATCATGTCCTGTTGAGGCATGACTTCTGGCTCGGATATGTGGACGGATCCTGTGGGACTGCAGACCCTTCAAGGCTGGGCTAACATCCTGCCAGCTTCGAATCTTGCGGCTTGGAACTGGGGACGATGGAATCTCTGCTTACTCCGCCGATCGCAACGAGAAGGTTCCATGTTCCATGTCCGCTGCCCGGCCTTCGATGCCATCACCAGCTTCGAGACTGTGTCGGTCATGAACTGCACCTAGACGAGGCGTACTTGGAGGATCGGGGACTTCGTATCTAGGGTATTTAGACTTGCAGTTACTAAAAAAAACCAGTTCAGGGTACCTTTCACCTAGCAGAGACCCAAGCATTCGAGGACGATCTCCCCAAAAATGCACGGGAAGATACTCTATCCACCTCACGGGGTATGCTAGACTTGGACACTGGACCCACATCCCAAAGAAGCCTGCACCGGACTAGCCCAGACCCCTCAGCCTAAACCGCAAAAAACCCGCTAAATACCCTAAAGCGCACGAAAACCGATCCCCAAGAAGACCCTCCAGAGAAAGATCCTCCGAGTTCCGGGCCGACTCTAGGTTCTTCAAGTTCTTGACCACCCGGAGCAGCCTGAAACAAGCTTTGAGAGGGTGATGTCTTGGTCTTAGTCTGCAAACGATCTTGCGGTTCGGGGGCTCGAGCACACAGTCATGGCGGCGATCATGCACCGGCGTCGTCGTCGTCTTCGGCGTGGCGTCGGTTCACCAAGGTTTTCACATGGCGGCGATCATGATGACAATAGTGGCCACGATGATGATGATGATGATGCTGCTGATGATGATGATGATGGCGATGAAGCCCCACGGCCCAAGACGAGAGAGGCCCTGTGTCGGGGGTCCTTCGGGCTTTGCGGTTGTTTTCTGTGTTTGGGGTTTCGGGGGGGGGGGGGGGGGGGGTTTACTTCGGTGAAACCTCCATGCGAGATGGCGACGGCTCTCCGGATGCTTCCAGTGACGTCGAGTCGCAAGAGGACAGAGATCGGACTCCGCGTGATCACCATCGTGACGGCCCACCTCCTGCTGACAGGCCTTATAGGCCAGCTGGGCCGCCACGGCCCATCCCAGTGCGGGGACCAATGCCAGATTATGTCCAGCCGGACAGAGGTGATGCAGAGGCTGAACCTGGAGGCACTGAGCAGCGACCAGAAGGAGGACATGAAGATGCCGGTCCTTCCGGGGGATCCAACACCAAACGGCGGAGCGGCGGCTCCATGGCGGGCACAGGGAGGTCGAGTCTCTCTTCAGACAGTTCGTCCTCAGCAGGAGGGGACAGCGAAACTGGCGAAGAAGAAGCCCCGGATGACTCAAGGGATGCAGCCGGCTACTGGTCGGACACTTCCATTATACTGGAAAACGAGGCATTGGCAGCGGCACACGACCTGCTATGCACCCTCTTCCGAAAACAGCTGGCTGATGAAAATCCGCCGCTCTCCTCGAGATCGCTGGCAGCAAGGGTGGGAGCTCTTCGCAGGAGGCTCCACAGCGAAAGCTGGCAACATACTCAGGGCTTGGCAACGCAGCGTTTGGCCGGAAGCTTTTTACGTGAATGGCTGGACTTTGAGTATCGGGAGACCCACCGCTACCACACAGGCCTCACGGAAGCAGAGGACTAAACTCAGGCCAGCCTGGACAGTCTGGGGTCGACCGCGTAGCCTATGTCATAGGGGCTATCAGCTCTTACCCCAGCTGCATCCTCACAACCCACCCGTAGCTCGTGCAAGACCTGCACACAGGCGAGCTGAGCGGCTCCGCCGAGCGTGCTTGGCCATGGCTGGACATCCTCCAGCCTGCTCAGGCGACCGTCTCCGCCCTAGTGACCCTAAGTCCCATAGACCCCATCAGTCCCCATACCGCAAACATAGGCCCACCCCTACCTATCACAGTAATTGTGCCTTCCCATCCCACCAAGGCCGATCCGGTCCCAAATCCGGTAGCTGTCTTTTCGCTCTAGTGCTAGGAGTGCAAACCTGTAAGACAGCAGGGGCGAGGGTTCCCCCTGCAGCCACGGCAGGGGGTGGACCCACTGTGGCTACTGCTCCAGTGGGGAAGCTTTGTGGCCAGGCGCACCAGAGGACACCTATAGCTCATAGTCTGAAGGGTATGAAACGAGCGTATCAACGTGCCAGACACCGGGCGGCAACCTCCTCCGAGGGAGGAACCTGGTACAGAGGCCAATGGCACACAGCCCAAACTCTAGGAGCCCTACCGATCCCAACAGCCCCACTGCCATGGAGGTCACGACCGCGGCCAAGAGGCTCTCAGCCACGGAAGGCTCGGTCGATCAGTCTCATGACATGGAACACGGGAGGATTAAACTCGGCGTTGTACCAAGAACTAGCAGCTTGGTGTGATCAACAATTAACCCTCGACATTGTAGTCTTGCAAGAGACACATTGGGGACAGACCAGTGATTTCACCTCGGGCAAGTGGCTCGCAATGCACACCGCAGGGAGCACAGACCCAGCAGCGCATGGCAGGTTCAGCGGGATACTGATGATGCTCAACAAGATGACATTCAAGGACCCTTGTGTGCAGGAACTCATTCCCGGCAGACTCTTCTTGCTTCGAGCCACGATGCGTAGTACAAACCTTCCGATTGCGATCTATGGCGTATACCAGCATGTGTGGCGCAGTCACCTCACAACGGCCAACAACCGTGCACTTCGGCAGGCTACGTGGGCCACTCTGGACACCTCTCTGACCAATCTGCCCCAGAGGTGCGAGGTGCTTCTGTGTGGTGACTTCAATGCGACCCTTAAGGTAGAAGATAAAGTAGTAGGCCCGTCGATCTTAGCCCATAGTAGCACCTTCGATAGTGACCTGCAATCCCTGCTCTCCAAACATTCCCTCACGGTTTTAAACACTTGGCACAATCGATCACCCGCGACCTTCTATAGCCCCACAGGTAGCTCGCAGATCGACTTTGTGGCCACCAGACAACGTATGTCCGGTGGCCCAGCCAAAGCAGCCAAACCACTGAGTGCATTTCCGGTTGGAGCAGCTCGACTCTCGGGACACTATCCTGTGGTTGCAACAGTCCCTACTCAACCTTTCTTCTGCCATCACCAGCCTGCAAAAGTGCCTCAAGCTCGCATCGACCTATCTGCCCTCCAAGAGGCAGTCCGGCATCACAGCCCGGCGGCAGTCCAGCTGCAACGGATGGTTCAGGACGGCCTCTCAGAGATTCCAATACAGGATCTCACGACCACACAAACCAGCCTCAATAATCTTATGCTGCAGGCAGCCTCGGCAATCTTCCCGGCCACAGTGCGACCGGATGCTCGGGTCAGTGCTGATCCCAGATATCGAGCATCAGCTAGCCACACCTGGCAACTCTACCGATCTGCCAAGAGACCTGCAGTGTGCACGTTTCGAGGAATCTGGACAAAGTGGAAGCAACTGACGGCCTTTGCCAAGGCCTCCGCTCAGCTTCGACAGCAAAGCAAAAGCCTCAAGAAGGAATTTCTGCATGGTCTGATTGATGATGCCGAGGCAGCTGCTCAGAAGGGGGATCAGCGAACCCTCCATTGCATTGTCCGCAGGCTCACGCCTAAGAGCCAATTGAAAGCATCCAGAATGAAGGACTCCAGGGGCAATCTGCTCACCCCTGCTGAACAATTGCAGGCAATCGTGGAGTACGGTGATGGAGTCTTCGCTGCTCTGGATGATGAGCCACCACCTCAGACCCTTACGATGGACCTAAGCATAGAGGATGAGGTTCTGATACACGAATTAGCCTCTCTAGGTCTTAGCAAGGCAGTGCCCAAACATGTTGCACCAGCTGCCTGCTGGAAAGCATGTGCCGGGGTGATAGGTCCCACTCTTGGACAGGCCATAAGAAATCACTTCAAAAAGGGTAAATCTGGGGTTCTTCAAGGAGACTGGAAAGACACCCATGTTGTCTGGCTCCCAAAGCCGAATAAACAGCCCATCACGGTGTCAAACATGAGACCGATTGGGCTGCAAAGCCCCTCCAGCAAGGTGCTGGCAGCAGCACTTCGCGAGCAGCTCTTGGGAACTCTATTGCCAGTGCTTCGCCACCTGCCCCAGTTTGCATACACACGTGGCCGCGGCACTGCTGATGCTCTCACGAGAGCCCATGCTCACTTTACTGAGGTCGAGGAGCTCCTACGGCACACGCGTGTGAACCGCTTTGGCCAGCAGGCTGGACACGCACAGCCTAAGTGTCAGGGAGGCATGGCCTTGTCGCTGGATCTCTCGCGTGCTTTTGACAGTGTCCAAAGGGGACTGGTGTATCAGGCCCTCCGGGACAACGGTGTTGATCAGGCCACGATTGAGGTGGTGCAACATCTCCACCATCAGGCCAGATACCACTTTGCGGTTGGAGATCACAAAGGGTACACCCAAACCTCCACGGGAATCAAGCAGGGGTGTTGCATAGCACCCTACCTGTGGGCATACTTCACGACTTCTTTTATGTTGCTGCTTCGGGACAGGCGCAGTCAGGAATGGATTCAACGGGTACTGACGATCTTTGCCGATGACTGTTGGGGTTCATGGATAATTAGATCGGCCTCGGACTTTCTACAGGCCAGGGAGGATCTTCAACTCATCCTTGAAACACTGGAAACACTTCAGATGACAATAAACTACCAGAAAACGGCTATACTGCTTCATTTGGTAGGAAAAGAAACCTCGGCTCTTAAGCACGAAGCCACCTTCAAACGAGACGGGGTTCTCCATCTTAAGATTCAGGTTCATGGAAAAGAGTGTGGAATCCCCATCAAGGATCAGCATGAGTATCTCGGGTCCATAGTGTCATATCACAGAAGGCTAGCCAAAAACATGCAGCATAGACTTAAAGCTTGTCAGGCAAAGTATCAGGGCCTACGAAAAACTCTCAATGGCTCTCACCACTTGAGCCAAGCCAACAGGGTTCGACTGTGGCAGGCCTGTGTGTGCACCAGTGTCTTCTACTCGCAGCCTATTGTGGGACTGTCTCAAAGCACCCTCCGTCGCCTGGTCACAGACCTCACTAGGCATCTTCGAGCAATTCTCAGACTCCCAGCGCATCTCACCCATGTCACCACACCGATGGTTTGGGAAAGGGCCGGCCTTGCTATGCCAGGATGGACCCTTCAGTGTCTCCTGGACAAGCACCGGGCTCGGGTGCAATGGGTCTCAGAAACAGACCCGGACATCACTGCCACTCCGGAGGCCCTGCGGCACCTTGATGTGGTGTCCAGCCGGCTGGAGAACTTACTGAAGCAGGAGGCCCAGACCCTTGCTCAGACACCCCCACGGCCGGAGGTAGTAAGCTGTCCTCACTGCACCGAGATGTTCGTCAGTGAAAATGCCATGAGGATTCACAGTAAACTGAAACACAAGCAGCTGCCAGAGCACTCTACACGTACTCCCACACCCTTCGTGCCGCATCTTCACGCGCATGCTGGCATGCCACAATGTAGGCTGTGTGATCGCCAATTCTTCCGATGGTCCCATCTTAAGCACCACATCGAATCTGGGGCGTGCATAAAGTTAGGAGGGGACAGCATGGTGAGGTCGCCCTACAATGATGAGCAGGCCCCGGCACAGGTTGCTGCACCGCCAGCAGCACAGGACCTAGCCTTTGAAGGTGAAAATGTGGAGCACCTGCCATTGATTCTCAGAAGTGCCTTCGTGAGACGTCTGCCTCAGTGGGAGTTCTGGCTGTCGGTGCCCTCCTTGCTCAAGGAACTGCGGCACTACTGCTCCATTTGCCATCAATGGATAGCTGATTACAGACACGTCAAGCAACACTTCAATAAGGTTCATGGCCCGGCCTTAGGACATTTAGTTCCCACGGCAATTGAGCTCTGCAAACCCTTCAAGTCCCACCTCACGAGGGACCGCAATTGCTTGTGGTGCTCACACAAGGTGGGAGCGCCCGGACGGCATGTCGTTCAGTGCACTCCCATGTTTCAGTTATGCATTGCAGTAGCCTACCTCCAACAAGAACAAGCTGCTGCACAGGATGTTCGAGGAGGCCCTGGATCACGAGCTGGAGGCGGACATCTTCAATCACTGCTATCACGTCGGGAGGGCGGATGCGGACCTCATGATGGATCGGTCGCTGAAACGCCCTCGGCCGGAGCAAGCCTTTCGGCGACAAACACCCCACATGGGTATGAGGACGGCTCAACATGAACATGGGTATGCCGATGCAGATGCCCATGTACGGGAACTTCTCCCAGCAGCAGCAGGACCCTCTCCGCTTGATGAGCCGGGTAATCTTGCACCAGGAAGAAACCCTGGCCAGGCTTCGTCAAGAGAAGTGCTTCGTACTCTTTATGAAGAACGACCAAGAGGGAGTGGTACGAGCATTGCTTCAAGTCAGTCGGGAGTGGAACAAGAGAAAGGACGAGGGCGACCCAGCTCTCAAATCTCCTCTTCGTACCCTGCTGATGCAGTCCATGCTTCAAGAACTTCAGAACCGCATGCAGAAGGAGATCGCTACGGAAGAGGGCAAGGCAGCTCTCGTGAAACGAGGCTGGCTCAACCAGGAACACTCCTGGACGTACCTCAAATGGGACAGGGGCAGCAAGCAGCTGGTCCTGGACAAAGACCGCCCGGCCCTGCAACATGCAGAGGCCATCCGGCTGTTGTCGTGGATGCTGAAGGAGCTCAAGGGCGAGATCATTCAACGCTTCGGCTCCTCAGGACTGGGGAAGGTGGAGACAACCACGAACTCGGTCTCGACCTTCCATCTGGAAGTGGCGATGCGAGGGCCTGTCGCCCTAGAGATGTACGAAGCCTTCTCCACCTTCGCAGCCAACTCGGCAATGCATCTCATCGGCGTGTCCCTCAAGAAGGATCGCTTACCTCAGTCGGCTCTAGCCAAACAGCTGGCGAACCTTACATACTTTCGAAGATGAGGCCCTTCTCCAAAGAGGCCCCACTCTCAGAACGAGTCGACTCCGCCCCTGATAGGACCCCGCCACCAACAGCCTATGCAACAGGTACGGAGCATGTGTTCGTGCCGCCGCAGGTCTTGCACTTACCACTGCCATTCCTGCTGAAGGGTGGTGATAATCAATGCTACTTGAACTCCTTTGTATACTGCTTTGCACATCTGGTCCAGCATGCTGGCCAACCATCCCTTCTGCCTCAGGCGTTTTGGGATGGATCAAGGACGGCTCTTGTGGCCTCTCGCTTGATTGGGTTCGGGCTCTTAGGTTGGTCAGCACCTCGGCGTCAGCATGACGTTGCTGAGCTGATAGATCACCTGCACCCTAAACTCACCCGAAGTGTGCTGCAAGGTCGCTGGGAGTCGCGACGTTTGACTGATGATGGCCTTGAAATCAGGCCTCAGACACATGTAGCAAGGTGCCTGCAGCTCCCGCTACCCAGCTCCCCGAGCTCGAACTCGACAGCCATCACAGTTCAGCAGCTGATACAAGCTTGGCACAGCAATGCTGATCTGCAGGCATATCGTCAGGCACCAAGCTGGTTGTGCATACAGTTGCCAAGGTTTGTGTACAGCGCTCGAGGCAAAGCTGTCAAACACACCCAGCCCTACCTCATCCCTAAGGTCCTTCATCTCCCGGTTTTCAGTACGGCTGATAACTTGGTTGTCCGCTGGGAATGCTATCGAGTATTAGCTTGCATACAACACCATGGTAGACTGCCCACGAGTGGGCATTACACCACGGCCCTTCTGCAAGACGGAGTCCATTGGCACTTTGATGATGAAAAAGTGCCCATCCCCATGTGTGCACAGGACCTTGAGCACCTTAGCACGAACATGTATGTGCTTTGTGTGCAGCGCTCTTCGACAACCGCAGCATTAGAGGTGCCCGATGAGGTAGATACCGAACTCTCTACATACCATGCCGACAGTCCGGCAACGGGACCCAGAGCTGCCATATCTCACACAGGAGGACCTCAACTGGGTGGCGAGTCATATGTTCCTTCTGCGAGTGAAGCTCGAAGCACAGCTGCAGGCACTGGCAGAGGGCATGGAAGCCTTGCAACAGACAGTGTCGAGGTTCACTACGAAGGTGACCATACTTGAAGACCGAATGGCGACCGCTCGACGTGGAATGCACAACAAGTGTACAGCATCGGTGCAGCCCTCCACGCCATACCTTTTGACATTGGACTGATGGATAACCATCGTTTTCACTCAGATGTGAATATTGCTCTGAGACAAGGCACCACGGTGCATACTAGGTGTTCCCATAAGGGCACATGTGCCGCTGCTACAAGCAGACGACTCACAAAGTGAGTTGAAACGGCGCTCGCTGGACGTGAGACTCCTCTCGCCGCGTGTCAAGAAGAAGAAGATGATGGCGATGATGTGATGATGCTGCTGATGATGATGATGGCCCATGATGATGATGATGGTGGTGGTGGTGGCTATTATTATTATCAACGTTGTTTGGTTGCTTGCTTTGAGAATATGGGTATTAAACCGTTGTGGCTGGTGAAACGGCTAGCACTGGCACTCGCACCAGTAGTATTACTGGTAGAAGTGGTCGTCGGCATGGTGGTGGTGTATGTAGGCAGACGGCAATCCCATAACGACTGCCATGAAAGTACTCTGTGTGCTGTCTTTGTGCTCAGCGATCGAGTTGGTTGTCACAATTCTGATGCACCTCGGTGCCAGAGACACCACAGTAGCTAAGGTCTCCCATTATCATCGCTATCAGTACCGCTCTATTCAGAACCTGATGCTTGGAGAAAGCTGTGAACCAGCCTCAGAAGCCGCAGCATGTTGGCATAAGTCGCGATGCCACTGGCAAAGAGCCTCCACGTCAAAGCTAGCCGCACTCTACATCAAGCTTTCGTCTGTGTGCATGCTTATCAAACCGATCACCAGTCCTGTTCTCTTTCGGTGCATGGGCGCTTTTGGCGGATGTCTTGAAAACAGGGACGTGCAGTCCCGGCAGCATGCGCCTTTCTGCAATCGCTGTGAAAAGCAGCAGCATCGTTGTGAAGAAATCGAACTGGTTCGAGATGCTTGACCTGAAAGCAAGGTTCTTGCATCATCAACCTCTATTCGTGCTATCATTACAACTATTGTCACTATTAGCATCATTACCATTGTCGCCACGATTTTGGGTTTTAGCGTTTGGGGAGGAAGATTGGATTCTCGGCCAGGTATTTCAGCAGCGCCTGTTTATGAAACGCAAACTCCGAACGACCGGGTCTTGCGGAAAAACTCTGCTCCCTGAACCCAAAGCGCTAAACACTAGTTCATTCACCTAAACCCAAAACCCTGAACCCTAACCTCTAGACTCATGATCCAACCTCATATTCACATACTATATGGGATTCACAACACGGACCTCTGAATGGAAAGGACATAGAAAGAGTTCTGCATCCCCGGGCCCTAAGCCCGAAGCCCAAACCCCCCAACACCCACCCCCCTCCCCCCACGAGATTCTGGACCATCAGGCGGCCCCGAGCTTCCCAAGATCCCGACCAGTACTCCGCGAAGGAGTACACAGCGAGCTTCTGGGCTACTTCGCCTGCATCGGGTGGTCAGGATGGCAATTTTCAGAGTTTAGGGTTTAGAGGTTTTGGGTTTTAATTAAAGGTTTAGGGTTTAGGGTAGTCATGATGGTATGTACGGTTCAGGGTATATGGTGAACTGGGTAGGTTATTTCTGTTAACCCTCTTTTCCGTCTGCTATCTCTAGCTTCAGAAGGCCATTCCGGCTGTGGGAGGGGGATACCAACCGCACAAGAGATACAGTGGGACACAACCACCACCATGATGTTCTCCCTTACTGCGGTATGCCCAGCTTCGACTGATCCTAGATTTAGGGTGTAGGAAATTGGTGGTGCTGATGGTGATGAGGAGATTACTAGCAAGCTGCAAACGATGATAGTATCCACTGGCGCATACAATGACAAGTAGTCCTTCGCTGAGAGAGGAGGATGCTGAGATGTCCATCTAACACCTAGAGCATGATAGCGTGTGTGTGTGTGTGTATATATACATATATACTGTGTGTAATATGGTAACGGTTAATACCAAAAATAGAACATAGAAGATGGAATACAGTACCAAGAAACACAATATAGAAAATAGACTCTAGGCTGTAGACTAAAGGCCATAGACTACAGAAAATAGGATTTCCAACACACAATGTGCAACATATATTGTGCAATATATACATATATGTAAGTACATGCATGCATACATACATACATACATATACATACATATCTATATATGTATATATTTGTGTTGTAAATATGTGTACGTACAATTACGTGTGTATATATATATGTATATATATATATATATATATTCACGAAAAATGTATGTGTATGCGTCTGCATCTGCGTATGCATGTGCGTATGTATGCGTATGCGCATGTGTATGCGTATGCGTAGTGTATGTGTATGTGTATGTGTGAACATAGAGACACAAATAAGTTTACAAGGCCTCCGAAAAAAACGCTTTGCTTTCTTCTTGGGAAAAAGTCTCCGAACAAGTTCTACCTCGACTTTGGGGCTAGGGAATGGGGTTTGGGGTTTAGTAAGGTCCTGTAATCAAGGCAGTAAGCATAGCTGCAGGAGACAATCGAGCACCGACAAATCAGCACATGAAGCCCCATGGCCCTGTCATGAGTACCCTCCACCCAAAAACAAAGCTCTCGGAAAAAGGGTCATGGAAAAGAAGCCGGTTAACAGCTCCGAAAAACCCAAACCCCTCAAACCCCAACCATAAACCCGAAACCCTAAACCCCGAGCCGCCTAAGTACACAAAGGAGAATGCCAGCTCGAGTGAGTCCATCCAAGGCGGCTCGTCCCACCTTCGCGGTGTCTCATGCTGAATTCTCCAAGAACAAAGCAACGCGTTCAGGCTTTGAGGCTTGGTGGCAGTTGTGGCGATGACAGTGGTGGTGGCGGCAGCCATACTGCGGTAGCAGCAGTGGGCAGTTCAGGATGCCGCTGCCAACCTTGTGCCTGACACCCGACATTCCGGACTTTCACATCGCTGCACGAACTCCCCTCTCTCATTCATTACATCTTGATTTTCTCATCAGGTGGAACCTACTTTGGGGTGGGCTTTCAGTCACCGAGGTCCGAGCTTGTTAAGGTCGTAGTAGCTTTCTAAGACCACGAGGACCAGATTCACCTTGGAACACATCTAAAGGAGCTCTCGCCCTACAGCTTCCGCCGGATCCTGTGGCCCGGGCTAGCAGGATCAAAGTCATCACCCTGTCCAGGGGCCAGGGGTTTGAGGATTTGGCTGCTTCTTTTGTTGACGGGTCTTTTGGGTTTACGGTCTGGCGGTTTGGGATTTCGGGGGGTAGGGTTCAGAGACGACCGGCTTCGGTTTCAAGGGGTGCAATGGGGTAGCTTCCGGAGCGATCTCTAGTGGAAGCGACTACCTGCCGTTCGAAGACTGCGCGTGGCCACCCCGCTCCACCAAATGAGCATACTTAATGTCAGTGGCCCTGTCTGATGAAAACAGCAATGGTGGCAATAGCAGTGTGAATATCAGCGCGCGCCGTACTGCTCGTAGTACGAATCTTCGTCATCATCACTGACATCGTGAAGCAACAAGAAACCTCAAAACCCATAACCCTAACGCCCCGAAACCCCAAACCCTAAACACCCAAAAGCCCCCCTGATAGCCCCTTACCGCCCTGATAGAACCCTTCATAAACCCTAAACCCCCAAAACCCCGAAACCCTAAACCCACTTAGACCCCACTTAAAGGATCATGGGAGTTAGTAACTAGGGTTATAAATAAGGCAACTATACTTGTTATTACTTGTAACCCCAATTAGGGTACTTATAACCTTACTTACTACGTCCCCTGATCCTCCAAGCATAATTAACCCTAAACTCACCTAGGCCCCCATAGCTTCGCCTCTCAAGGGTGGTCACCTAAATCCCGAAACCCTAAACTCACCTAGGCCCCCATAATCTCGCCTCTCAAGGGTGATCTAAACCCTAAACCCTATAGATCCCTTTATGGAGCCCCTATAGATCCCCTTAAGGAACCCTTTCAGGACCCTTACTAAGTCCCCCGATCCTCCAAGCATAATCTCGCCTCTCAAGGGTGATCTAAACCCTAAACCCTATAGATCCCTTTATGGAGCCCCTATAGATCCCTTTAAGGACCCCTTTAAGAACCCTCACTATTCTCGCCTCTCAACCCTAAACCCTAAACCCTAAACCCTAAACCCTAAACCCTAAACCCTAGCCTCTCAAGGGTGATCACATGTAGCTCCAGGTCTTCCCCTGAATCCACAAAGGCCCGGAACTTCCTCGGACCCGGTTGTTGCCACCGGGGGCGTTGGGCTTTGGGCTTTGGGTTGAGGGTTTTCAGGGTTTAGGGGTTTAAGGGTTTATGGGTTTAAGGGTTTAGGGGTTTAAGGGTTTAGGGGTTTAAGGGTTTAGGGGTTTAAGGGTTTAGGGGTTTAAGGGTTTAGGGTTTTCAGGGTTTAGGGGTTTAAGGGTTTAGGGGTTTAAGGGTATAGGGTTTTCAGGGTTTAGGGGTTTAAGGGTTTAGGGGTTTAAGGGTTTAGGGGTTTAAGGGTTTAGGGTTTTCAGGGTTTAGGGGTTTAAGGGTTTAGGGGTTTAAGGGTTTAGGGGTTTAAGGGTTTAGGGGTTTAAGGGTTTAGGGGTTTAAGGGTTTAGGGGTTTAAGGGTTTAGGGGTTAAGGGTTTAGGGGTTTAAGGGTTTAGGGGTTTAAAGGTTTAGGGCTTTGGGTTAAGGGTTTACGGTTTAGGGTTCCTCGGAAGGGCCCTTTTTGTGGTTCTAGAACTTTTAGGGTTTAGGGTTTAGGGTTTCGGGTTTAGGGTTTGGGGCTTTGGGTTTAGGGTTTAAGGTTCCTTTGAAGGGCCCTTTTTGTGGTTCTGGAATTCCAGAAGGGTTTCAGTGCTTCGGGCTGCAAGAGTTTAAAAAGGGTTCCTTTGAAGGGCCCCCCAATTATCCTCAATTTTCCGTTGGAGACGCTGCAATCGATGGAGATACGAAAATCGTCGAATTTGTAAGTATAAAAACTCCCTTTACTAGCAGGCATCCTTCAAAGCCTTGGATTTGCCGTATTTCTGGCCATAGGAGCCGTTGAAATGGGCTGTTGTTGTTGCAGTTGGCTCCGTTATTGACGTAAACGTGCGGAGACCGATAAGTTGTCATTTCCAATTAAGTGCCTTTCATATCGGTGCGCTCGATATTTCGTGGCTATGGTAATGATCATTCCTTTTGGGGTTCTAGCAGGGCTTCCGGGCTTCAGGGATGAAACGGTTTAGGCTTTGGTTGTAAGAGGGGAACCTTGGTGTTTTCAAGCTTGGGATTTCGATTTGGGTACTGCCATTTTGGCCCGATGACTCCATGCGAAGCAAGAATGACAACTTGACGAAACAAATAGATGCGACTATCAGAGCAGCAAGAGGAAGACAGAAAACCCGCAACCCTTGCAGTACAGCTCTGATGATATCCCAAGGACATCATCTGGAGATCCGGAGCCCCCCGAAACCCTAAACCCTAAAACCCAAAACCCCTAAACCCTAGAGATCCGGGGCGCCCGCCGATACATCGAGCTGTTCCATAGTTTGGGGAAGTAGTCCTTGACGAAGGAGTCTTTCCTGGCGCGTTTAGGGTTTAGGGTTTACGATTGAGGGTTTAGGATTTAGGGCTTAGGAATCAGGGGTTTAGGAGTTTAGGGTTTAGATTGAGGCATGAAACTGTAGAACATACCTTTCTGATATGCACAATGCACCTCACAACATAGAATGCAAACAAGCTTCGCGATCATAGAAAGCGTCCTTACGCTTCACTGTCACAGGTCCCTTCATCTTGGGTTAGAACTATGGAAGCTGACAACACCGCCACAACCGCCAACTAACACCACCTCCCAGGTACCTCCTCCTACTTCCAAGGATTGGGTGCTGAGACTTTGCTCAACGCACCGCCCAGAACCACTTGTTCACGTGCTCGCCTAGTCGTCCAGAAGTCGTACTGGATCAAGCCAACTACGCCGATGAACCTGGGTGAAGAATCTCGTTTAGGGTTGTGTGTACATGTACCGTTTCGGATGCAAGGGTTTAAGGCAGCATTGTTACCATCATCTGAGGTCACCATCGCCTACATCATCACCAGCACAGTTGTCATCATCATCGTCACCATCACCCATCGTGATCACCATGATCACCATGATCACGATGATCATCATGATCATCATGATCATCATGATCATCATGATCATCATCATCGTTGTCGTCATCATGGTCATCACCATCACCATCATGACACTCTTGCTAGCGATGCTGACGACCGCAAACAAGAACAGTTTCAAACACCAAAATCTGAAGATCGCCCGTATACGCCATCCTTTAGCGGCAACGATGCTGGTAAGAGTGCAAACAATAGGCACAACATGTTACTGTAGCTATACTCATAGCTGGCGCCTTTCAATCAAGGCTACAAGGGTCATCACTCAATCCTGCACCGAGTCACTGGAAGGAATAGACTCCAGAATCAAGCTGGAACCCAAGCCAAAAGTCGTAACTCTTAAGTCTTGCAACACACCGCGGCAAACACTGACCCTGATCATCCTAAACAAAAGCTGAATCCATCAACTCGACAAAACCTATACCCCAAAACCCCCCAAAATGCTGAACTTAATCCCTGAACCTTGAAAACCTCTATCCCGTAGATCCCGGTCTCCCCCAATTCGAAGATTAAGTGCCGGGCTCCTCCCGCTCGATGCTCCCCGATCTGTCCTCTTAAGGCTATTGGGTTTACGGATTAAGTTTTGTTTAGGGTTTAGGGTTTGGGGTTTAGGGTTTAGGGTTTTGGGATTCTTGACGTTTCGGGCTTAGGGTTCAGATCTTGGGGTTCAGGGTTTAGGGGGTCCTGCTTTCCATGCCCTCTTTTCCTTTGAGTGGTAAGCGTCCAGGGTTAAGGACTTTAGGATTTGAGGTTTGGGCAGTAGGGATCAAGAGCAAGGGGGTTCGAAGTGGGGTTTTCATATTCTAGATTTAGACTTGAGGCTTCGATTCCTGTGCGCTAACCCTCCTTCCATTGAAGGCTTGACACTAAACCCAAAGCCCTCCCTAAGCAGCAGTCCCAGGTCTGGGGGCTTGAAGTCTTAAAGGGCCTTCGTCTCTTGTGGTCAAGCTGTCGGGTTTGAGGTTATCGGTTCAGGGCTACTCTTGATCTCTGGCACGACCTTCCCTGATAAAGACCAAGGACGTTGGACCCAGAATGTACAATCTTGAAGTACTATCACTGGTGGCATAGCTCTTACCACTGCTATCGCCTTTCAGAGACTAAATATTCAAAACTATGTGTTGTATACTTTACACATCTTTACACGTTTGATTGCATGTTCGGTTCAATGCACAGTCTGCCGGGCGCACGCGATCGATGGCATCCCACATGATCTGGGCCTGGCAGCGACTGCCAGCAAGAGTTTAGGGTTTAGTGCTTATGCCCGAAACAACATGAAAACTCTAAGCTCTGAAGCCCAAAATGCCACATCCTCACACCCTGGGGTCCTGGGCCCCCTGGGTTGGCCCTCTGAGGTCTTTTGAGTGCGAGCCTCCTTTGGAGAAATGCCCACAGATCGCGGAGACTTGCTGATCTCCTGTCGTGGTGAAGTATCGGTGCTTATATCAGGGATTTGGGGTGGGGTTTAGGATATAGGGCTTTTGGACTGTTGGGGCTTATGTAGTATTTAGGGGTTTAGGGCTCGGTTGACCCATGCTCTGTCCATCTCCCCATCAGTGGAATGTTCTGGTGACTACGCTGGTTCAGTTCAATGCATTGTGCCAGCACTGGGCCACATTGCTAAAATAACATTGCTACTGCTCTCACGTGCTTACATGGCCCTGACGGTATTGTATTGCCAGAGCCCTCTTCTAATTCCTTCAGCATCGTAGTGTCTCATGACTCTGAAGGTGCTAGGTCGACTATGTTCGTCCTGACATGCATGTTCAACATCGCGGTCCTGTGCTGTTTCTCCCATATGCACTATTCGGACATTCAACTTCACTATGCTGGTTGTCCATCAATCTGTCTCGAGATGATCCAGGAATTCTGTTCATGCTGTTATCGAATCCAGGTTTTCTTCACTTGTGTCGTCCCTCGGTATTCACTCTCCTATCCTCATCTGTTCCACTTGATCGGCTCCTTTGGCTGTTCGCTAACACAAAAACAAGACTACTCCGCATCATACACTTCATTCTGCAGACGTGACTTTTGTAAGTTCGTCGCAAGCGGGCAGGATACCAAACAACCATCTACATATACACATAAACTCTTTACCTGTACGTGCGTACGTAAGTATATTCACACACATACATGTATACATCTGTGGGTGTTGGATGTTCTACTGTATGTTTGTTTGTCTGTGTGTGTGCACACACTTACTTATTCATTGGCTCGTTCCTTGACTTACTTACCTGAGCCTGCCCTACGATGCTATATTGCTAAACAAACAGATGTGTAGAGAGAGCTACTAGCATCTTCTCCTCTGAATATGCACTTGCGTCACAGCAAACAACATAGTCACCTAGTACATAACACAGTGAGAGTGCAACAGAATGAAGCCGCAATAGGTTGCTGCGTGGGTACGAAACCACAGTCTCACATCAACGAAATGACCAAGTCGGTGACCAAGTATGGCAAGGCAGCACCACAGGACCCTAAGATACGAAAACAAAAACGAAATAGACAAGATGCAAGCCGCGGCCTCCAGAAAGAGGAAGAAATACTCCTGTGAGACCTGTTCTCTGCCACGGAGCGCGTTCTTACAGGGCCTACTCTTACCTTCAACTCTGTCCGACATCCTTGCCTGCTACCATATGTTGATGCGTTGGCTCATTGCTTGCATTAAAGCTGTGCGGCTCCCAACCCAGGAAACGCACACGACTTCTTCTGTACATCTACAGAGCACATATGTGCCTATTTTGTATGCACGTGATCGCATGCATACACACACACACACACACCCTCACGCACATGCAAACACCCACCCGGGCACGCATACACACACACACACAGAAGGAAAAAAAACAAAAGCACACACTTGCAAACTCCATGGTGGGAGTAGCTAGGTTTACAGCACTTAACTCAAGCGAATCTGCACTCATGTGGGGTTTGTGGCTTGGCCCCAGTGCCATTCCAATGCAGGTACACAATCTGGCGTCCCAGATTGCTTCACAGCACTTCTATCACCGTCTTCGTTGGGCAGTGGATGATAGAAGGCTCACTGCCCCCCTGCTTTTGCTCAAAAGAAGCCCTTTGCTATCAGGGATTCACACACACAGCTACTCCTCTTTGAGGAGTAACGAAAGAGTTGTGGCAAAAAACACTGTACAAAAGTCGCTCTCAACTGGCCAACGTGTTGGCAACATGCATGAATTAAAATTGACTCTCAGGGAAAAACATCTCGTTTTCGCTTCCGAGCTGGACTGGATGCTGCCGGTTCAATCTTTGTCTCAGACGAATAAGACGTCGGAGAACCTTTGGGGCTTTGCATGCCCCGGGCATCTGCAGCGAGGCGATTTTGGATCCAGTTTTTTGTAGCTGGAAACCAATTCTTCCACCAAAGAGAAGAGCCGTCAGCTGCAATGGAATTGGTCCAGTAGTATCGCCATGAAATGGTTGGAGAACGAGATCTACTGCGATCAGCCATGGCGAATTTCTCTGAGAGCCAGGACTTAAAAAACACTGGATCGCAGATAAAGATATTGAGAAAAGCCGAAAGCAGCAAACATTTTTTCAGCTTCACTGCAACAAGATGATTATGGCATATCAGCCAGAGGTGAAATGACACGGAACACTCTCAAATCGGCGATAAGAGTAGAGCTCACGCGAAAACGATCTTCGCGACCTGCTGAGATTGCAGCAGCAATTGCCTAAAAGCAATGTACAGTGTCCCTTCATAGAGATAAAGAACAGAACGAAGGAAGACTCGGTTTACCGCACCATAAAAGGTGGCCTGTGGCATTGGTACCGAGTTGTACATTACAGGTACATAAAGTACATTGGGCCAACCAGGTGGCTGTGCTGGGCACTCCCTTTGTACAAAATGTTCGCGAATGGAACCATAATTGAGGCTACCAAGCGCGGGTGAAGTATCAGCAGGTAGCACAGAGCGAAAACGTTGACGAATGCGATCAGAAATGACACGAGCCGCACTGTCCGGATAAGGCTCATCTGATTCAGAAGAATCATCAAGCTCAAGTTGATCGCGATCTTCTTCGGTCCAAAAGGCCGGATTGAAGTAGAAGAAGAAGATGTGCTTTCGCGAAGAGACAAAAGATACCACTCTCGCCACAAGGGCAAGTTCGGACACAACCAACGAAAGGGCCGACATGTGGCTTTTGGAGAGAATGGTTTACTGAATGAAGCCGAGGCAGCCTGCAGTTCATGAAAGAATGTTGCAGGTTTTCGGCACAGAAAAATCGCTGTACAGAAACGATCTTCTTTTCTTACATGACAAGAGAAAGCTGTAAAGGGCTTTACTCAGAAGTGTGAAAAGAAGTCCCATCACCAAATTCTTCGGCAATGAGCCTGATTGGACAAAGGTGGGCACGCACATAATGGCATGTACACCGAAAACCGCTTCGAGCCATCATCTTGGCTACTCCTCTACCTTTGTACACCGTAGTGTTGGCTTCAGTAGGGGGTGAAACGGGTTTGCTGTTGCAAATGGCATCAAGCACCACATCACCGGTTTTCACAAGACGGGAGGTGGTTGTCGCTTCTTTGGCGGTAGCAGAATGTTTCACAACTGCTTTGTCCTTGTCTTTTGAAATCTTTTTGGATTTCTTGGACTTGTGCTTCTTGCTTTTCTTGCGAGAAGCTTCGTCTTTGGGACTTTTCTTCTGCTCACGGGAAGAACGACCTTCCTCAGGAGGATCAAATGCAGAATGCCAAGAAGAAGCCGACGAAACAGGCGAGGGTGCAGCTGGAAACATGGCTGAGGCGGTCTCAAACCGATCAACCACAAACTTGAGCAGCTGCAGCCAGGGATGTACATGCACCCAGAAAAAAGAAAGAGGCAGGCAGCACACCTTGTGTTGCCGTTGTTTTTGCAACATGTCGGCATCAGTGCAGAAAGATGAATTCAGTATTGGGATAGGCGATTATCCAGCCCATCCTCCCCAAGCTTCGGTGTCCTGAATGCTTCTTTGATTGATCCGATCAGCAATCATTGGAAGCATGGCCGGAGCAGGAAAATCAGCAGAGTCTTGATCTGCCACAACAATAATGAAATCGATGCGAGCAGCTGACTCTCTGATGGCCCATCTTTTATCCTTGGAAATTGAGTGTACGGCTGGGTGAAGCCGACACATGGAGTTCTCAAGGAGTGTGTTGGCAGATGGACTTTTTATGAACTGTCCACTTAAAAAACCGCCGAACAGAATGCCAGAGGAGTTCTTAGTACTCCAATTGAGGTTGGCAGCCCATTCAATAAAATTCTCGGTCCACGAAGGATTTGTGTGGCACCGCCCGAAAAAGGACATGGACTCCTGGTCATCTCGGAGACCGAGGGTGTAAGCAGCTGTTCGAATCACTCGGCCAGCTGCTAATATTCCGCAGGATCCTGGAACGTCTGAGCAGTGAGCCCACGCCAGGCTTGTTTGCCCTACGGGTTCCGGTCCAGGAAAAGACTGAACCTCAAACAGGTACAACTTGCTGTTGCAGCTGGCCATATGGTAGCTCTTTGCCGTGGACTTGAAATGATTGCCCACCTTGAGCTTGGCAGAAATCAAAGCTTTAGCAAATGTACGAAAAATGCCACTGTTCATCCCAGTAGCTCCAGGCAAACTCCATCAACATCAGAATTGGAAATGGAAGACCAAGGTTTGCAGTAAGCAATGGTGGCCCGTTTCCGATCGCGAATTTCTCGCATCTCGGAGTGTTTAAAAATCAGCCAGGAGTCCGGAAACAGATTGTTGCGATAATGCAGAAGGAACAGCACATAGGCAAGGAAAGGCGTGAGAGGGTCTTTGGACTCAAAAGTCTCATAACTCTCCGCCATGCCACTTTGTTGTATCAGCTCACTTCCAGTGGCATTAAACGCATCAATGAAGGGCTGCTCTAAATCCTGAGCTTCTTGTTCAAAAGTGGACGATTGAGCATTCGATTTTCGAATCTCCTCATCCAACATTTCATCCGCTGTTTTTTGAACTGGCGGGTTGGGAGTTGAAGGCTTGCCATGCTGGTCGGGTTTCTCCGACCGCTTCCCTTGGGTACCTTTGGTACCTCTGGGCACTTTAGGTGGAGACTTTGGAGGGGTCACAGGAGCCTGAGAAAAATCGACAGGTCTTTTGCCTGTTTCCTTAGTGAAATCTGGAGCAGGAGGGACTTTTGAAGTCCTCGGCTCATGTGGAGGTGCCTGGCGGGGTTCAGACAATGGACCAGTAGGTTTGGTCGCCGATGAAAGAAAACCAGGAGGTGGCACTCGGTGCTGTGGAGGCTGTGGTTGCCACTGCCCCGGAGGCCGAGGTACCCATTGACCCGGTGGTGGTGTAGGTTCACCATACCAATTTCCCGGAGGAACACCTGAAGCAGATGAAGACACTGAAGGAGAAACTCGAGCAGCTGGAGCCGATTTTGCCCTCGGAGGAGGGATAGGAGGCTCAGGCTGTACATGATGAGGTGATCCCCGATAAGGGGTTCCTTCAGCTGTAAAAGTCCAATCACCGGGTGGTGCATTTCTGGGTCTCGGTGAAGGGCGAAGATCATGTTGTCTTGGGCCCTCAGTCACTGGGGCTTGTTCCAGTGGTCGTCGATCTCGTCGACTGCGTTTCCTCCCCTTGATTGGGTGTACCAGCAAAGAAATTGAAGACGTACGACATCGCAAAAAAGGAGACACAGGAACTGGAAAAGTTCAGAGCCAATCTGTAACGCATGAAATCATGAAGTGGCAGGTAACCTGCTGAAAACAGCACTGGCATTATGCAGTGCAGCATGTTTTTCTCAGGATGATCTCCTTTGCTCGAGGAAGGATGCCCCGGCTTTTTCCAGAAGCTGAGGATCGTACCCAAAATTGGTGTACGTCCGAACAAGAGTCTGTACATCAGCTTCGGCTTGGGAAAAAAAGGAAAAGCTGTTCGGCTTGCCAAACAAATCCTGGCATAGGCAGCTGATAGCTTGTGAGCATCAGTGCCTGCCCTATTGAAAGGTCGAAATTGATGTCGGGCGGTGGGTTGTCTGTACTCAAGAGTGCGAGCTTTGGGATTTAAAGTGGTTCCCAGGAACTCACCATCAAGTACCGCCTCAAGTTCGACTGGGTGTTCATAAAAGAACGGAGAAAGGAATTGTTGGAAAAACCATCGTTGGGCCGTCTGTTCCGAACAGAGCACCAACCGATTGTCCACATAGCGAATGATGTAGACTTCTGATCGCAAGGCTTCCAAAGCCAGACGATTGGAAATGGACCACTGATGTTCTTTGTACGAGACTGCAACATTGGCCAGAGATGGGGAGATCTGGTTGCCAATGGCAGACCCTCTTGTCTGCTTAAAAATTCGTCCCATCTGCGAAAAGAAGGATGTCTCGAGTGAAAGCTGACAGATGGCCGACAGGTCTTTTAGATAGATGACGCCGGTCCTCGATTTCTGGCGCTTGTAGCTGCCTTGAAAAATCGTAATCGTGGTTCAGAAGCTCCAAGCTGTACAGTAAATTTGATCTTGTCAAAAGGTGTGGATTGTAAAGCAGCATAGGAATCAATCAAGTGATCCACTGCTTCCATGATTTGCGTGGTGGGTAAGCTTGTAAAAAAGCCCACCAAGTCTTGACTGAACTCTTTGAGTTCAATATCTTCGTCGGCATTGGACAGAAATTGATGCAAGCCCTGGAAAATCTGAGGTAGAGATTGATGGCCATAGCTTTCGGGAAACACCACTGGCAGCAGAATGTTGAGAACACTGCTGGCTGCCTGGAAAAGACGGCCAAAAGCAAAATGTCGATATGAAATGATTGGTCTGGCACCAAGAAACTGCTTCTTTTGTTTCAGAAGAAGGTACGAGCAGGGTAGCTTCGCAGTCTCCTGCATCCCCCATTTGTAAGGTTTTAGCCAGGCCTTTTTCGTCAAATTTCCGAGAAAGGCTTTGGCTTGTTTGGGAGTCAAAAGAGACGGCAGGTAGACTTCTTCATCGCCAAAGGTACTGCGAAGTATACGCCAGTAGAAAAGAGGGCAGAAGATATGAAGGTGATGGGGTGCATGGTCTCGGCCTTGCACCACGAAGCCATCAATGACAGACTTGATGTACTTGACATCGTCAAAGGAAAGCGGGGTTTTGCTGTTGACGATGTGTTGTGACCATTGATCACAGGCAAACCGCTCCCAGTCAGAAAAAACCACGTCGGGTACGAAGTGACGCTTGGCCCACCGTTGTACCTCTTTCCAAGTGTCTTTGATGAAAGAAGTGCGAGCAGGATATACCTGTGTTTTCGCACTTGTGCCAAGTAAACACCGCAGTCTTCTGGAAACAGAAAGCTTGTCCAGGGGCCAGGCAACATGCCATTGCCCATCTTGAGGATGTACCACGCCAGCCACATCCGGGTGTTTCCGCCGGAATTCGGCACACCGACAAATTGGCTGACAATCCCAAGAAAACTGTGCCATCATGGCATGGTGGTTCGTCAGCATGGTGCCCAGCGATGAATGGGCAGCGGAAACGACATTGCAAGGGGGGAGGTGAAAAGGAATCAAGAAATCCTTAAAAGGTAAAATTCTCATCTTCAACCACTTCTTGGTGGCGTCCCGGAAATCACTGTTGGACAATAATGGAATCTTCACAGGGCGTGCTTTCGGCGGAGCATGGCCGCCTTTAAAAGTCAGCACTCGAAGCAGGATGCTTTGCACCAGGCTTTTGGGAGGTTCTTCCAAATTGTTCGTGAGCCTGAACAAGGCATACACGTGTGGCAGCGAATATGAGCAAGACCGTAGGCGTCGCTCCATGTTGAAAGAAGCGAGGGATCTTTCTGCCAGAATCGTTAAAATCATCCATGAAGAATGTACTTCCTGTTTTACAGGACTGTACAGAGATAGAGCTCCCAGCTTGTGTAGTCTGGCACGTAATTTCTTGTGCAGACGACGGCCAGGAACATTGTAGGATGAAGCGATCCGTCGAATTGTACACGAGTAATCTGGACCCATTTTGGTCATCCGTTTTTTCAGGATGAATGGGAAATTCAGGGATGGATTCCATCGCTGAATCAGAGTAAGTTCAAGTGTACGAATTTGGCGAAGGGATTGCATGACAGCCAGGGGAAGGACAATGAGTTGTCCGAGGCATTGATGCGAGACTTGCCAATGTAAAACGAGCTCGGCATGGACTGGTTTCAAGTCCAGCAGCTGTCGAAGCTTTCGAAGACGAGTATCTTGTCTCTTCTGAATTGAAACGGTTGTGGATCCAACATAAAAGTCAGGTCCGAGTTGGAAAAAAGGCTCGATTTGAGCTGTTATCAAGATGTAAGCCGCGAAGGGCTCGAGAAACATGCGTGCGACCGAAGTCGCGGAAATAAAGTTAAGATCGTGAAATCCTTCAAATTCTTGAAATCGTTGGCGCCAGCGAGCCAGTTTTCCTGTGCCTGTTTGGCGAAGAAGAAGAACCAACACCACAAAAGCACCCAACACCCGAAACCCAAAACGCCAAGGCATGAATTCTGGCTCGAAAATGGCAGCCTGTAGGCAGGTTTTTGCCATAGAAAGGATTGTTTGCATCCTTTGTCGGTTGTCACTGTTGAGTTCAAGATCTTGCTTTTGGTCCTCGAGTCAAGAGGCCAAAGCACAAGCTGCTAAGACAATCTTCAAAAGGTCAGCTTCCTTGGCTCCATGTAAAGAGCGAACCGGGAAACCAAAATCTGCAGCTCTTTGTGGTAGAGCCTCCTTGTCTTCATCGGAAAGCGATTTCATAGTAGTATTAGCCGCTTTGCAGCTTTGCAGAAGCTCTTGTTTGAGCTTGGGCTCCAGATTCAAATTCTGGATCCACTTTGTTGTGGATTGGGGAACAGCAGTTACAGGAGCTTGAGTATCAAGAACCCGCTGTGCTGGGAAGTGAGGATCAAAAGCTTTTTCAAGAAGGGTTTGAGTCGACTTCGTCGGCTCATTCCCGGTTGGGCTGGCAATAGGCAGCCTACGTTTCCGGGAATTCTCGCTACTTTGACTGGCATCTGAGGTCCTCTTGGGTCCAGGTTTCACCGTGGATCCAGTTGCTGGGGCACCTTTCTGAGCCGCAACAAGCTGCTTCTCGAGCTCGCGGATGCGGTCCTGGGCATCGCATAGCTCCTTTTGCTGGAAGTCTTTACACTGATCAAAAATGAATTCACAAAAGTGCCGCATTTTGGCACTTTTTTGAGCAGGTTCAGCTTCAGTGGCATCAATATGGATGCTTTGTTGTTCGCAATACACAGAAGCACATTGATCCAGGTCCATTTTGTTTTCCCGGAACTTCTGCATCATAAACGACATGAATGTGGCTTCTTTGATGGATCGAGCAAAGAGGATGCTCGTATACCGGCCTTGGGCCAGGCTTCGAAGAGAAAAGTTGTTCCATCCTTGCCAACAAACTTCATGCAACTTAATGCAAGTAAGACCCCTGCCAGCGAGCTGGTGCTTTTGAGCCCAGCTGGATGCCTGTATTTGGCGAGGGAACTGTAATCCATACACCTCGTTGGTATCATAAAAGTTGCGGTCGCTATGAAAAGTGCGAGGAAGATCAGTGTCATAATCTTTGGAAGGGCCCTGAGGACTTCCAAACTCCTTAGCTTTTGGAGCATTGGGAGGGGTGGACGGTACCGGAGGAGGCTGTTTGCCCCAGGTTCCGTTTTTCCACGAATCCCATTCTTCCTGAGTCCAAGACATGCTTGGATGTGAGTGATGTCCGGAACGTCAAAGGAATCACAACAGCAGTCCGAAAAGAACGTTCAATCGATCATTCAATCGAGCATTCAATTGAGCATTCAAGATGTGAATCAGGTTGAAAAATCAGAGAATCATTCAAATGATCTGCAGATGCAATCAGATGGCTGCGGATCAAGAAAGGCATTCAATGTCTGGAACTGTGCATTCAAGACGTCAAGCAGTTGCTACGCCCGGCCCTTTGACAGAATGCCGGTCGGAAACACACTTGCAAACTCCATGGTGGGAGTAGCTAGGTTTACAGCACTTAACTCAAGCGAATCTGCACTCATGTGGGGTTTGTGGCTTGGCCCCAGTGCCATTCCAATGCAGGTACACAATCTGGCGTCCCAGATTGCTTCACAGCACTTCTATCACCGTCTTCGTTGGGCAGTGGATGATAGAAGGCTCACTGCCCCCCTGCTTTTGCTCAAAAGAAGCCCTTTGCTATCAGGGATTCACACACACACACACACACACACACCCGGACGGAGAGGCGCAAAGAACGAGAGGTGTGTGTATATATATATATATATATACGTAGTTATGTATGTACATACACACACCACGTGCATGTGTTCGGGGAGGTTTCGAGCCGCACACGCAACGGCCCGAAAGTCAAGACTCAAGACCTAGTAGTAGTAGTAGTAGTAGTAGTAGTAGTAGTAGTAGTAGTAGTAGTAGTAGTAGTAGTAGTAGTTGTTGTAGTCGGAATCTGAGGGCGGCCTCCTGCTCCTTGTTGCCCGTGGCCTCAACCAGTGTGGTGAAGGCCTGGTGGAGCGCACGAATGCTTGGAACCAGAACCCCGCACATGAATGCTGAATCCTATATCCTCAACCCAAGACCCTAAAAAATACAAACCTGAATCCTAAATCCTGAACCCAGCGATCGACCCAAAGAGGACGGTCGCACTGGAAACAAAACTGCCGAGTTCGAGTACAAGAAGCATAGGTGCAGCTTTGACCACCCTGCTCTGTCAAAAGTTTGGGTAGGGTTTAGGGATTTACGAATCAACATCCTACTATCCCATGTGTGCCACTCGTAGGATACCAGCATGCAGAAGGCGCCGTCCTTCCACATGCCCTCGATGCGCTTGTCTGCGACTTCCTGAGCAACGGCCACATATGCAAGTTTTCAGCTTTCGGATTCTGGCTGGCGACTCCCGTGAGAATGTGATGGCAAAGCCAGGCAAAACTACATCGATAAGAAGCGCAAGAACAAGCACAGCAATGACATTGACGATGCATACAGCATTCGGGCTGCTGAAGAAGTTCCGTAGGATCTGAACAAGTCTAGCCCTGCGTGTTCGGGCGTAGGAGCGGGAAGATGTGCACTGAACCGACTTGCTCTTAGACACATCCCTGAAGTCTTAAACTGTTTTGGAGCCCAAGCACGCCTGATGTTATAGATACAAAGATATCGACAAGCGTAGCCGAATGGAAAAGTCACAAGCGAAGCAATGCCAAACAAAGAAAATCTAAATGGAGACAGTCATAATCACGCCTCCGTTCGCTGCTCGGAGTAGGACATGTACGCTGCACCTCATGTGAACGGATTTAGGGTGTACAAGCAGCTTTCAACGACTTCCCTTTTGATTCTCGTGATACCATGTATGGCACCATGCTATACGAAGGAGCTCTCTTTGATCAAATGTGAGCAAATCATAGACACATCGGCAGCAAAACGTCGTACCATCGGGACCCAGCCTTGCTAAAGAACACTTTTGATACAGTCTATCTCCCTGTGCAGCCTGACTAAGATCTCAGGGTTTGGGGCTTAGGGGTGCAGCCATTGTGGACCTGGCCTGCGGGAAGAATGCTGCATGAAACATCAGGTGCGGCAGCTGTGCTCACACCTACATCATCGCTAAAGCGGGTACAACGATGATGCTAGAATCTGCTAGAAGGAATCAGAACAGCTACACATGTTTGGTGGCAGTTCGGGACTCAGCCTCGGAACGAGTCGAGTAGTATGCCTTTGGCCGGTAAAGCTTTGTCTCCAGGGACCGAATTAAGTATCCCAAAACCTAAATATCGCAACATCTGAAAATTAAACCCTCATCGAATCCACAAGCCTAACAATTTTGCACTCCTTCCTGACCGGTGTAGAACCAACAGTCCTGAAAAAGGGATAATAAAAATGATACCCTGTCAAGGCTAAACCCTAAACCCCCACCGGTTTCAAATTCAGACATCGGAGTGTCGAGGACTTGGCAGAGCGTGTCCAGGACCTGAAGATTCTGCGAGTTGGGCAAGAGTATAGGTCCGGAGCTCCGCAGGGTTGAAGGCTTTGCTGCGTAACCCTACTTAAAGGATTATGGGACTTAGTAGTAACTATAGGGTTATAAAGAAGGTAACTATACTTATAGCTCCAATTAGGGGGCTTACAACCTTACTTACTAAGTCCCCTGATCCTCCAAGTAAAGTCTTCGAATCAAGCCTTTCATAGAGTCGCTCAGGCGGCAGCCTACAAAGCAGGTGCGAAACGGGACCTTTTGTTTCGCCCTACGCCACATTGTGTGCGGCTGACTGATGACCGATACCACTGTGGTGGCCAGCATCACTACTACTGTTCCGAACACCAGCAATGCAATGATCGATCCACGACTAGTACTATGGTTCCACACCTCTTTCTGCTACCCGTGTATCCTGCTTTTGCTATCATGTCGCTTATTCTGACTATCAGGTCTTGCTGTCATTTTCGTCGTTAGCAAACATTGCTTAGCTTTTCAGTCTTGGGCTCACCCGAAGAGGGGATGGGCTTCGGGCTTCTGACCCCAAAGAGTCCTTGCAATCCCGAAAAATTTCTTCTAGAAGACAGGCCCCTTGTTCCTAAACTACCTTACCCCCTATGAAATCCTACGAAAACCCCTCCAAGAATACTGTTCTAACTATCGAGGCCCCTATACTACTACCGAGAGCTCTTCGCAGAGCTCGGGCTCCTGCCAAGCTGAGGAGCAAGACATGGGCAATCACCAGGAAGATCAGCCAAAGAATCTCACGGGAAGGAAGGCTAGTCGAGCAGTTCCCACATGCGTGATAGATGTATACATGTAGACACACACTAACTCTAGACATGTAGATAAATAGAAAGACCTATACAAGGTGCACTTGGGCTTGGGGGCCAATCTGCGTATTCGGAGGGCAATGCCCCCTGGTCCTAAAGACTGTCCAAGCGTCAGGAGTTGTTGCGACCCTCTGGCACCCTGGGCCACGCACCCCCACGTACCGATAGGCGGTATAAGACCTGAGAAAGGCTACAGATTTCTCTCGCCGCAAAGTACCGGCCTTAGGGTTTAGGGGGAGTTCATGGGCTGCGGGGATTGGGGGTTTCGGGTTCAGTACCGGGTTGTAGTTTTGGGAAACGAAGGGTCCAGGTCCCTCAGAAGAAGGCAGGCACTCGGCTGAGCCTCCTTCAGCACGGAACATGAGCTGAGATGGTGGCTTGAGAAAAACGCTGACAAACTCGTCTGACACCTGGGCTCTGCCGTGCTTCTGATGTGCACTTTGGGGATTCAATCATCGCTGGCTGTCTTCATGACGGCCGGTGTAGCTGAGCTGGCTAAAACCTACTTGTGCAGGTGTAGGAGGACTCCAGGAGCACCGAGACTGAAACAGAACGAGCTACGGGCCCTATACCCTAAAGCCTTGATTCTTGCAACCAACTATATCGAAGCTTTGGACTTCCTGTCTATACCGTCAGAAGTTGGTGGTGTTTCCCGCAAAGGCCCTTCTGCAAGAATACTCCCTTCAACCATCCTGAAACCTCTGCGCCGGACCCAAGAGATCCAGGGCTTGAACCCTGAATCCGGAAGCTTGCAACCCAAATCCTGGCTCCCTACTGAAGCCTGTGTCCTAGTTCATTGTTGGGATAGGATTAAACATGTACAAGTTTTATTCCTTCTTGACAAGAGTCTGACAAAGTGTCCAAAAACCGAAACCCTGGACATGACCGCTACATGCGAAATCCTACCAGACAGCCCTGATCCGAGGCCCTCACTCCTGCGATGAACATGGAGTTCATCGACTCTTTGAGGGACGTGAAGCCCTGGAGGGGTCAGGGGCAGATCTAGAAACAGCTTAGGATTCTCCTTGGGGTTTAGGGTTGGGGGCTTTTGGGGAAGGCGGGTTTGGGATTGAGGGTTTTCGGATTTGTGGTTTCGGGCTTCGGGGCTTTGGGTGTGTTATGTGAGCCGCACACTTCGAGCATGCGATGTCTGCCTCGCAGACCCAACGAAGTCTCCAAACCACGCTTGCGATTTGGAGCAAAGGGTTTGGGATGATGTTGAGAATGTACAGACTGCACCCTAACCCCTAAACCGATGCATCCGAAATTGCCAAGTATCTGAAAATTGCAGAAACACCAGCCAAGGTGGCCGTGTCGCGTTCCGCAGTGCAGATGGTAAAAAGCATACGCACAGCAAGACACACCAGCACCATCACCACGAGAATCGCTATCAACATCATCAGCAGCATCATCATCGTGATTGTGTTCATGTTTTCAGGTTCACCAGTATCATCATCAGCAGCAGCAGCAGCAGCAAACTCAACAGTGTCATCACCATCATCGTCATCATCGGCAGCACCATCACCGGAGGTTCCCACGAACCACATCCTAGACCCAAGCCCTCAACTGGCCGTGCCTCGGTCCCGCGGTCTAAGTCCTTGAAGACCGTCACTGCGATCCACGCGAAAAACATCATGGTCCCTCCGGAATGCAGAATTTAGGGCTTGTATAAGGTGCCGAGTGCGTGGGTTTCGGTATGGTAAAAGGATGTCTCGTTGGAGGGCTGTGCCGCATCTTGGACAAGTTGTTAAGCAGTAAAACATGCCCTCAAACCTGATTCCGAGGACTGACGACATGGCCCAGACAATGGTAATACCAACCGCAGACAGAATCCAGTATATTTATACTTTGCAATGCTTGGTAATCCATGATAAAAGTGAGATCAGCCAGAGTACTGAGTAGTGGCTCGTAAGCTCCACCGCCGGAACAACACGATCAAGGTGGAATCCCGAGGAGGGTGTGCGTTGGGAGGGTTAGGGTTGGGTACTGCCCCCACCCTGTAACAGTCTGTCTTGCGGCATAAAAAGGGCTATATATACATATGCATGTGTATGTATGTATATATATATATATATATGCTCACCCCCCCCCCCATGACAGACCGTCGTGGGGAAGGGGAAGGGTGGCGTGCGTCCCCAGGCAGGGTCTGTCAACGGATAGGCGACAGACACTTCTCCCAAACTCAATTCCAAAATGTTCTTTTAGATGGTTTGCAATTTTTGGAAATTTCTTCACACGCATGCAGCGCTCCTAGTCCCAATCTTAATCTCAATTCTGCTCTTCGTACCACTATTACTGTTTGTAGATCTTAATTCTTGTATCAGTGTTAGCATTAGTATTAGTTTTGTGGTAGTATTGATATTAGGATGTTTAGTATGAGTAATAGTATTCGAATTAGTATTACTCTTAGTATTAGCATTAAGTATGTGTCTTGATGTTAATAGTAGTAGTCGTCGTACTAGCAATAGTTGTCGCACAGCAGTAGTAGTGGTAGCATTAGTATTGGTATTTGTATTAGTATTAGAATGAGTATTAGAGTGACTAGTATGAGTATCAGTATTAGTTTTAGTATTAAGTATGTGTACTAGTAGTAGTAGTAGTAGTAGTAGTAGTAGTAGTAGTAGTCGTAGTAGTAGCAGTAGTAGTAGCAGCAGTAGTGGTGACATTAGTATTGGTATGAGTATGAGTATTAGAATTAGTAGCTAGTATTAGTACTAGTATTAGTGTTAGGATTAATATGTATTGTTCTTGGTTCTATTCTTAGTACTGCTGTCATTGTTTGTAGTAGTCCTAATCCTGGTATCAGTGTTCATATGAGTAATAGTTTTGTGGTAGTATTGATATTAGGATGGGTATTGCTTTAGTACTAGTATTGGTATTGGTATTTAGTATTAGTATTAGCATCAGTATTAGTATTAGTATTGAATAAAAGTATACATATCAATAATAGTAAATATGAACTCGTGATTATGTTCGTGCTGGTGTTAGTGCCAGTGTCGATGTCAATGTCAGTAATAGTACTCGTGTTAGTATTAGTATCAGTCTGAATGCTGGTTTTAGTATCTGTTTATTATTCACAGAAGTGCTGGTATTAGTATCAGTAATAGAAATAGTTTTGATATGTGAATATACTGATTGATTCGTACATTTTGAGCTTAATATAATAATACAGTAATGTATTCGAACAATAGTATATTTGCAGAGTTGAAGATTGCGCGAATATATTAGTACGTTGGTGCATGAGTACATTAGTATATTGGTGTATCATGATATTCGTATGTTAACGTAGTAGTATATTAGTATATTATTATAGTGGTCTATTACTACATTTACTATATTCGTATTTTCCCTAATAGCTTATAGGTATATCAATATGTTGGCATAATGGCATGTGAACATGTCAGTGTACTTGCCTTTTACAGTATTCGTATATTAGTACACTAGCATATTTAGTGATAATTAGTGTTGATGCCAGTGCCATTGTCGATGTAAGTTTCAATCAGTCTTAATGATGAATTTAACATCAGTGTAATATTCGCGGACGTGCTAGTATGCGTATCAATACTATAATTAGTTTTGATATATTAGTATACTGATAGATTATATAAACAGCTGAGTATACCAACACATTATAATGTATTCGAACAGTAATATGTTTGTATACCTGTATGTTTGTATGCTCTTAGTATATTAATGCATGCGTACGTTCGTGCATGAGTACATTAGTACATTGGTGTGCTATTATCTTCGATTCTTAACATATTAGTGTATGAGTATCCTGGTATGCTACTTCACTTATCATATTCGTAGATTATCTAACAACTTTTTTGGTATATCCATATGTTAGTATACCATTGCCATGTGTCAGTGTACTTGCGTATTACAGTGTTCGTGTCTTAGCAAGTTAGCATATCAATACAGTATAATCAGACGTTAACAAGTAGTATATTGTCACGTTGGAAACTGGGTATATGAAAAATTAAATACGAATTTACTACGTTAGTACACGAATGCATTGATATATTTGCTTTTCAGATAGTGGTATGTATATCTGCGGACATTAATATACGCAGGTGTCTGTTAGTATTGGCATTAATATCAATATGAATATGACTATTGGTAGGCGTAGGAGTATTAATGTTAATAATAGAATTAGTAATGTGCATATTCGAAATGAAAGCATTAATATACATGTCAACGTTAGTGTTAAAAGCACTACACAGTAATCTTACTTGAGTCATATATAGAGCAGATTCCAGCATTTCCAAAATTTCCAAAATTTCCAAAATTCTCTCCCCTAACTTTCCGGATTTCCAAAATTTCCAAAATTTCCAAAATTTCCAAAATTTCCAAAATTTCTAAAATTTCCAAAATTTCCAAAATTTCCAAAATTTCCAAAATTTCCAAACTTTCCAAAATTTCCAAAATTTCCAAAAAGTCCGCCCTTATGTTTTGGAAAAATCCTGTCAACTAGGTCGGGAAATTTTGGAAATTTTGGAAATTTTGGAAATTTTGGAAATTTTGGAAATTTTGGAAATTTTGGAAATCTGGAAAGTTAGGGGAGAGAATTTTGGAAATTTTGGAAATGCTGGAATCTGCTCTATATATGACTCAAGTAAGATTACTGTGTAGTGCTTACTATGTAGTGTGTCAGCACAACCCTCATCCATACACGTGTGCTCTGTAATTCCTTTCTTGGTAGGACACCCGCGCGCCTTATCGTGCTGCTTTCTGGTCTCAGTCTTTTGGTGGTTCCAGGGATACGTTCGGAGGGCTCAAACTCGATACTCCGGAAAAAGCACGAACACGCCGGTGGGAGCGATGTTTTAAAGGGGATGGTCTGTCATGGGGGGGGGGGTGACCATATATATATATATATGTATATGCATAACTCATTGAACTGATACAGAGTTGGGGCAGTGCCAAAAGTGAGGGCTTAGAGCTTAAGCCATGGGTTTCCCGTGCGCCTGCCAAGAAGACGGCGACTGAGACCATCTCCCACCTCGACACCCCAGGAAGTCTCGATCTCGGGTTTACGCGTAGCGGCTTAGGGTTTCGGGTTCAGGGTTTAGGGTTTCGGGGTTAAGGCCTTGGGGTTAACAGCGATGACAAGACCAAGGAGAAGAGCACACTTCCCAATGCGCATATCCAGAGAAGAAGAAGCATAGGTGGAGGGTTGTTGTTGTCGTCGCAACGGCAACAGTAGCAGCAGCAGCAGCAGCCGTGGTGGCAATACTAGTTGCAACAGCAGCAGCAGCGGCAGCAATGAGTAAAACTAGCGGTGCTTGTAGCCACAGTCATAATCGTACTCATGGCTGCACCAGCAATGGCATTGCTGATTCCTGAGCCCGATGCAAGCAGGCCACAACACAGCGCACCAGCTCGGTGACCTCTGAGACCAAGGCGCCAGCCGTGCCAAGGCAGCACCAACGCACAGTCGCTTTTGTGGACAATGGCCGTGCCGGCGTGTTTATCGCATGGACGCCCACATGTTGAAAGGCAGGAAATGCATGGTTTCAAGCAGGTGGCACCCTGCTTCGATCAGCTCACCCTGAGGCCCTGACGGCTGGCAGGAGGCAAAGGTACCCAGTTCGCGCCAGGAAGGCCAGGCGGAATCTTGGCCAAAGGCACCCCGGGGGCTGTCGCCCTTCTTACACCCGGGAAGTCACTGAGCCGATCCCAGCTCCGAAAGCTCATCGCTGCTGGGGTAGTCACCGTAGAGTACAGAGAGTACATGGTGGGAGCTAACCTACGGAGCTCTTGTCTGCGAGTTTACGAGGAGAGCATCGTATTCCACCAACGAGGGGGGCGAAAGTCCTGCATCTTACTGTGAGTGCTTCTCCTGCCTCATGACTCCTAAGTTGAACCGCCAGGTAATACGAATGCTTTCATCCCTTCTCTGCGCGATCATCGGATCAGCCCTACAAAGTTGCGGTGTCGTTTCGTGGTGTATCGGTATGAAACTAGACCCGCTCACTCTCTTCATGCGCTTGTATGTGATTCTATATAAGATGTTGATCCCGGTGCCTTGTGTTTGCAACATCCGTGCTTCAGATCAAAAGCTGAGCACCACGCCTGGGCCGGAAAACTGCAAAAGCGATCACATCTGCTGCCTCCAGTACCTGCTTGAGCTTCAATCTTCGACAGGCACAGGAATCAGACGCGCGGTGCCTTTCGGAACCTCGCACAAAACAATGAATCTTTAAGCCGGCGCCGCAATCCATGACTCTGCATGCTTCATTCTCTCAGATGAGCAATGCCCATGCCCACAGATTCGCACCAGGAAGAGCTGCACCCTAAACCCTAAACCCTGCACCCTAAACCTAAACCCCGAACTTGCAAGTCAGACCCTACCCTACCCTAGACGGGCACAAGCATTGCCAGCCCAAACTTGATCTCTGACACGTTGGTGTAGGTCTGCAGGGCGGCTCTGGGCTACAAGAAAATGGCTCTGGGCTTCCAAGGGTCAAATTATGTAACATAGAACATATAACAGACATAACATATAATAGAATACACATATATATATATATATAACATACACAAAAATAGATATACATAGTTTGAATCGGATCCCAAGTCGTGTAAAGTAGCAGCCTGTAGTCCACGATGGCAGGATGAGCTATGGTATGCAGTATGTCACCATTTACCAGCATGTTCCAGCACAGAAGATAACGTCACCGAGCAGCGACGTCTATTCCAGTATATTCAGCAAATTTGCAGGAACCTTTAATCGACTAGTTGCAGAAGTCTTGCACTTTTCTAGTCTCAGAAAAGTCTGATGTGAGTCGTCATTGTTGCGGTCCTGCTTCGGAACCAAGCAATCGAAGAACTTCACCTTGCGAGAAGATCGCGGCTTGCTGAAATTGCACATCACAGCTTCTTCTTCTTCCGCGAACAACGTACCAGGTCATTCCGGCATGTTCTACTTCGTTGCAGGGGCCTTTACAGCATTTTGATGGAGCACACAGTTATCTATCGTTTGAGCATCACAGACCGCAAGGTTCGTAACATGCCGTCAGTTTTCTCGGGAAGTTTGGAACGGTTCGAAGAGCGATGTCGAAATCCGCCCGTGGAGTTCACCGTCCAAGAACCTGGAACACCAAAGCGAGTTCCATGGTGTAGCTATGTTGTAAGGGCTAGGGTTTAGGTTGCAGGGTTTCGAGTCCAGGGTTTAGGGTTCCCCATGTCCACTGCAAATGGCACCTGCACGTGCCATTCCAGGAGGAACTTCCTCAACAAGAGCAGCATGAGAAAGACCTGGCGAAGACTGGGTGAGGCCCTAAACCCTGGACCCTAAAATGAGGCGAGATCGCGAGCTGTCGGGGGCAGAGGCCTCTCCCGAAGCTGCTTCCCCGTTTTGGCTCACTTCCAGGCTTTGCTCTGGCGAGCTGAGCTTGAAAGTGTGGTGCAGCGCAGCAATCGCGACATGGAAAGCCCTAGCTTCTGCATCTACACCTGGACTGCAGCAGATTTGCCCTTAACGGGAGCCCTACTGCAGAGCCCTCCAGTACCCTTTAGATGGGGCCCGATTATAGGAACCCCAACGACTTCGAAGTGACAAGCCTGTGGCTTCTACGGCCAACGCACAGCCCATCCTGCTAAATCGGAATCCCTGGACCGCTGAGCTGAAATATGCTCTGAAATCATACATCTTAAACTCTTAAACCCGAACCAGAGCACATGCGTTACGGGCGCCTCGATAACTAAACCCCAGCCGGGTGGTAGGTGGGGGATGCCGGAGAGGTAGTGGATGCTGCCTGGGAAGCTCCAGAAAGGGGGGCAGGTCCAGGTCGAAGCCCCAAGGCCCGAACTCAAAATCCCAAAGAAGAGACTAAAGGAAGAGGCTTGCACTGATGTTCGCATGGATCCGAGAGCAGACGGCGAACACAGAGGCTCTTAGGTCGGGACCCTCGACGGTACACCTGCAGCCAAGCCAAATGCCCACGTGGCCGAGATTTGCAAATGCATTCGTCTACAAGCCTCCAAAAGCCTGAATCCTATACCTGCCCTTCTTCTGGGAGCCCAACGACAGGGACACATCCATGAAGCAGAAACTGGCACCTGCCCGCGATCTCGTTTGCGAAATCGAGCGAGTTGTCGCACCTCGCTTGGGGCAGTCACCATGACTTGGCTGCCCCACTTCAAGGCTCACCTTCTGTCTGATTTCTGGTGCATACCACAAGTGTTCTGACTTGTATGTGTCTGTGTGCGCGCATGTGTATCTATCTCTGTATCTATGTGTGTATGTATGTATGTATGTATGTATGTATGTATGTATGTATGTATGTCTGTCTGTCTGTCTTTTTTTAACTGTATTTCTTTATTTAACTATCTATCTGTTTATGTATTGGTATTCATGCATATGTAACTAACTGTTTGATGTGTTTATATGTACGGACATACACATACATGCATATGTATGTACCTACATACACAGAAAATACGACATAGATTGTGCAATAATTCATACTTGGTATGCGTGTATGTGTCTACACATATACACATACATATACATTTGCATCCAACATAACACATACAGAAGCTTTTCTTTGCTGTTAACTAGCACGGACTCAGAGAGCAAGCTGGATGAGTCCACCATTCATGCTCTTATGTACAGATCCATGCATTCCCTCAGAATGCCTCAGGCATCTGGGGAGGACACTGCATTAACTGGTACCATATATACAGTTGAGCAGCAGCTCTCTCGATCCTTTTCTGACCAGGTCACTAGGTCACTAGACCCATCATGCAGCTGTAGTTTTCTATAATATGCTAAGATGCACTATCACAAAATAACATACTACAGTATGTATTATGATTGTACTATACTAACATACTACAATAGAGTATGATGTAAAAACAGATTAAAGAGAGTGTAGCTGCTCAGGAGCCTCCACAAGTCATCTGCAAACTTGCAGAAAGCCGAAGATCCCAAGACAAGCCCGCAACCGGAGGATCCCCCAAACGAGGCACCCAACACGTCACGAAATCCAGATGGGTGGGGTTTAAGGTTTGTTTGGGTTTTAGGATTTAGGGGTTTAGGGGTTTAGGGCTTAGGGTTTAGGGGTTTAGGGTTTAGGGGTTTAGGGTTTAGGTTTTAGGCTTCAAACCTTGCAGGTCCTGCGAGATCATAAACCCTTAACCCTAAACGCCAGACCCAATATAAACCCTAAACACCCGAAAACCCGAAACATGCAGAGCGAATGGATCAACCGCCCATGTCAGCACGGAACCAGAGCATCAGTGGCCGGACCTCGACAGAAGAACTGCAACGACACACTGACTTATCTTGAGAACCGAAGCGATGATGATGCTAATACTGCGAAATTTGATGCTTCTTGTGTTCAAAACTCTATACACCTATCCGGATGCAACAGACAGATGCTTGTTCGCTCTCCTGATTCCGTGCTGCCGTTCCACAACGTTCTGGAGCTGGTGGTCAATCATTTTGGTTGCGAAACACACAGGGCCACTCCCCATGTACTGATGATTAACAGGCAGGCTCTTGGAAAAAACAACATAAACAGACTTGGATTGTTTTGCAGGGTCGTAGCACACACGGTTGCAGAGTAGCGTGCCCCGAATGCCTGACAAGTTTCCGAGATGAGGTAGCCCATCGGGAACACCGGAAACACTTACGGGAACGCTAGGGCGAGATCGATCTTCAGGATCAGGCCTACAATAAGGCACCATGCCGCACCTCCATATGGACCAGAAAAAGTCTGAGCCAAATGCACCATCTGGGGAGAGCATCGTCTTGACCTCCTTGCGATAGAGCTGACATGAGATCCCTTGTTGAGCCCGTACACTATCAGTGGCAACCTTACGGTTCGCTTTTTGGGCTTCCCGGCCTTGAGCTTGAGAACATACCGCAGGTTGTCTGTCGCATCAAATCTACCAGCTCACAGAACCCCCCAGCCCCGGCTGCCTCCAAGGTCAACTTCTTGGCCGATTTGTCTCCGATTGAAACGAGCTCCTGGCGGCTAGTGGCTACCAGCCGGGAGGGCCTTGGCATGCGGAAGATGTCGAAAGGCAGCAGCGCATGAAGACTCCATTGTTCAAAAGCTGGCTCTACTGACAGCAGCTTCCGTCAGTACCTGATCCTGGTCGTGCATGTCGTTGTCATCACCATCATGATCGCCATCGTCATTGTCTTGAGCATCATCACCGACACCATCGCCACCATGACCATCATCGTTCACACCAAGATCTACACCATCATCACCATGACTATTACAATCACGATGGCTAGCAGCATCGGCATGAAGGTTAGACCGACGATGGTCATCATCATCCTCATAATCATCATCGGAGTCGTCATCCGCATTACCACCAGCATCTTCTTCAGCATGATGACGATGATGGTGACGACGATGATGATGATGATATGGTTATATGATGCTGATGATGGTAATGGTAACGGTGATGGTGAATGATCATGGTGGTGGTGATGATGTCGATGATGTTGATGATCACGATGATGATGACGATGGTGATGATTATGATGATGGTGATGGTGATGGTATGGACTGGTGACGGTGACGGTAATGGTGATGGTACGGAGGAAGCATGAGCTTGACTAACTTCAAGGCCCATCATCTGACTTGAAGTCAGGACCACGGCATTGCTACGCAGCGACTCTTCGTGGGATTCCAGCACTCTCGAATACCAGAGCAAGAACCAGCAGAAAACCTCAACAGGAGTCCCCGCTGCTCAAGAGCAATACGTGCCAGCCCCACATTGCCCACGCGAATGCGGTGACGCGTCGCCCAGCTTCCCGGCGACACCGCACTGACCATGAAAGCACTGGCATGGGCAAGAGACTGTAGGCAAGGAAAGGTAGACCAAGGATGAAGCCAATGCAAGCCCAGGATGATCGATGGAGCTATACCACAGTCGAGATTCGACCCCGAAGCCTTTGGACAAACCTCTTCTGTGCCAGCATCCCTTGATGTTTCCCGGCGACCCTGGCCCTTACTACCTGAACGTGCTTGGAGGATCAGGGGACTTAGCAAGTAAGGTTATTTTCTAATTGGGGCTATAAGCAATTATAAGTATAGTTACCTTAATTATAACCCTAGCTACTAACTCCCATGATCCTTTCAGTGCCAGACGCACGGTGACGCAAGAGAGCCGGCTTTCTGCAAGACGAAGGCTACCTTGGGCCCCTCAAGTTTGCCGGGCAGGCGACTGGGACCCACGCTGGGCAATCTCGAAACCCAAAATCTTGTCCTGCGGTTGATGATATAAATCCTGCATTACCTTCATGGCCCTAAACTATGGGAATTCTGGTATATTCCTTATTATGGGTAATGCAGGATTTATATCATCAACCGTGGCACGAGTTCCATGGGAAGCCAGGCGCTTTACGTCAGAGGACCTGCGATCTGCGGATCGTTATCAGAATCTCGTCAAAACTACAAAGCGAGAGTCACAGCGTCCTGCGAAGCACCGAACCCCATCGGCGTGAATTTGCGAAATGCACGGGATCTTGAAGCCAACCTGCATGTTTGGTGATAAACCCGCGATGACCCTTCATGATCTTAGACAGCCGGCGAGTTCCTTGAGAATCAGCGAGACGACACTTCCACTCCACCCTGGAACACAGTTATAACAAGGATCCGACAATTTGGGGTAATATATTAGGGTCCAAGAAGTCCTGCTTCCCGGCGTGGGCATCGAGCATTGCATCGTCGTCTGTCGACTCCTCCTTGGCTCAAGGACGCAGAACGTTTAGGGTTTAGGGTTTAGGGGTTTAAGGTTTGGGTCTCTTCTTCCCTTGGGACCGGGGTGTCCGGGTGAAACAAGATGAATGTAAACTCTCGATTTCCACGATGCGACGCACGGCTCTTGCACTCGCCATCTGCGTAAAGCGATGCGAGTATTTCAAAAAAAGGCCCCCCGCCCAGTTGTCGCGGGCCATGGCAAAAGCATCTAGAGGCGTGCTGTTCCCTCTACGGGCACAGCATATGAAGATGCCTGGTTCTGGCTATCCCGGATTATAGATCCTTACTCTCTTTGAATTGGGCCCTGCATGTGCACCCAGAAAGCTTTTAAGCCAAAGCCATCCTAAGCCGCAGCTGATACAACTGGATTTGCATCACAGCCATCTTCCAATACCGGGCGCCCGAATGTACAGGATTCAAGTCCGGATATGCGCCTCCAACGAGACGGGAGCCCAAAAACTCTGTACACGAAGGTGCCCGTCTTTGAAAATATCACCATATAACCATATGGGAGTTTCCGAAAATTAGGGGACCTTATTTTGGGGTCCTTATAGTAATGATCTTGCTATTTAGGGTACTATACTAGGGTCCCTTCTCTTCGGAAACTCCCATATATGATCCACAAGAAGCCACCGCTCCTCGGACCCCCAAGCTGTGTCTGCGACTTAGTTGCAAAGCTCGCCTGGGTTGGTCACCGGCCACCATAGCAATCCTCGCCCTACACCTGTGTATCCTGACTCCGGACACAAGCCGAACACGTAGCTTGCGCCGTTCGACAGAATGATAATAAACAGAACGGTGTGAAACTGGGCCATTGCAATGGCACTGAAATGTGCCCAGAAAGGGAGCTTCTCAAAGTCTGCTTGCTTGTATGCAAAATCCAAGGACGCCCGGATCTTCCAACACTTCCTTGGCTGCAAGAGCTACTGCTTCACTGGTTGTCTGGAGCTAAAAGTTTCCCAAACCGTTTTAGGGGCCGAATAGGGTTAGATTATGCTTATAATATTGAACACCCTGAATTTCAAAAACACCCCTCCGATAGGGGCCTTAAAAATTAGAACAGGGCTTTGGGGCCCATTATATCTTTCCGGAACCCCCCAAAATAGTATCCGTGGTTATTTAGACCCCTACAGTAGCCCAAGCAGCTGCCTCAGCTCTTCTGCTGATAGCCTCGGAGTCGAAGCGGTCGTGGCGGTCGTAGCGTCATCGTCCGCTGCGTCAGCGAGCCAAGCTTTCGGAACCACGGCTTTGAAGGGTGGGCTGGGTGAAGCAAGCGAGCCCTGACTGCTTTTCATCTCGTTCACGACCAGGATCTCAACCTGAAGACCCAAAAAGAAGTGCGTAGGCGTGCTGTCTGGGATTCATCTAACTTCGATC